TGTTGAGGATTCAAATATGTGTCTGTCGATCGTGATAGAAGGGGAACCCAGCCAGCTTGGCTTGGTAGAGAGAGATGATCATGACATGAGAGAAGTAAGTCTGGGACATAGCTGTGAATGTTTACCTCGGAAAGAGTACAAAGAAATAGTACAATATTTATTCTTATGGGCAAAGTGATGTTGAGAAAAATAAATGCGCTGTTGCACATTTAAAGAGAGTCGGGGAGGATCTCTTGGAATTTTTTTCACTAGCCACTGACTAGAGATCTGGAATGAAAAATGTGCCAGTTAAAAATGAGGCCAAGTTAAAAAAAAAAAAAAACTATTGTTTTTTTATCTTCTAAATAAGTTGGTTAATTAAAGCCTGATTTAAAGGAAAAGAAAGTAAATGTTCTTGAAGGTCCCTTGTGCTGTACCACTTTTCTTTTCTAACAAAGGGGGTTTTGTTTTGTTTTGTTGTTTCTTCATAATGTGAGATAATGGGAACAAAGTAGATAACAAGAGAAGAGCTTCAAACTAGTTAGTATAGGTTGAAAGCAAAGTGAAGTGTCAGAGCCTCCATCCAGTGGGAAGTTTTGTCCATCAGTATTATCTTATGCTTGACTATCGACCTACCAAGGAAATAGGATGAGTTGGATTAGAGAAATAGTAAAATTAATGTTTTTTCCCCCTTTCTAATTACCTTATAAAAGAAGTAGCTGTTGAAAGTTAAGTATTTTGTAATTGAGTCACTGAACAACATAAATTAAAAAAAAATCATTGGTTTTAGAAATTGGGCCCTTGAACTAAGGAGAGTACACACTGGTTTTCCATAAAACCTCACTATCAGAGTTCTATAGAATCTTAGAACTTCTAGGGACTTTAGAAACAGTCTGGCCTTACCCTCTCAATTTGGAGAAAGAAAAATGAGGCCCAGAGATACTCAAACTTACCAAGAAGTCCTGATTGAGTAAACCAAAAAGTTAAGTTCTGGAATCTCATCTTCACCTGGCCAATCTAGTCATCACTCCACCGTCCCATTGCTCTGAAAATAAGTGATATTTGCAAATATTATCTAAAAACAGTAATCAGAAAATTTAGCAACATAAAATGTTTGTATCAGTTCAGTGCTAATTATTTAATAGACCTAAAAATAGGCATACAAACATAAATGTTTATAACACTTTTAAAAGAAATCAAAACTAGATTTTAATATGAATTAGCCATTTTGTAGGTAGAATGTAAAAGGACCTAATGTGATTGCTAGAATTTGTATTCTCATAGAGCAAAACCTTCTCTAGGAGTCGTTTGGTGTTACCCACAATCTGTTTTAAAAGAAGGAAAAATAGCCTTTTTAAAGAATAGAATGAAGCTAATATTCTTTCTTATTAGAGAAAAGTTGTAATGGAATTGGTCAAGGCAGTGGTCAAAAGCAGGGTTAGGAGTGTATAATTTAGGGAGGGATTTGTTTGCAATTCCAGGGTCCTGAACTGCTCAGTGCTGTTAGCTCATGTTCAAGCACACTTGAGAAATCCCTGTGAAGATGGTTATTAGACTGGTGTGTAACAGAACAGGAGAACAGGTTAGGGAAAAGCTTCATAAGTGCTGTCTGTATGCACACACATTATATATAGATAAGGCATTGATAAGGGGATAGAAGAGTTCCCACAGAAAAAGTCTAGAGAAAAGGGATCAGAGGTCATCCAAGTAAGACATCAGGCCTTAGAACAATATTGAGAATTAGAATAATATTCAGAAATGTTGAATGTAGCAAAAATAGCAATAAAGGATTAGGGAAAAGCAAACTCATTTTTGGCCACTAACCACATCTGAGTTTCTTATACAGTTAAGTGGTTAAGAGTGAAAGGCCAGCTTTGTACTTAATGCATATTGCTTGTGATTAATCTGAGGTCTAATTTTAGGAAAGAGGTTGCCCTGATTCTTTCCCACTGCCTCTGAATTTCCAACGGGATGACCTTTGGCGGCTTACCGGTCTTCTCTTTGCTCTGTTTCCTCCTCACTAACATGAGTGAAACAGCGGCTCCCCCATCCAGTAGATTACGTGAAGAGCATAGTGCTTAGAACAATCAATGTTTGACCCACAGTAAGCTCTGAATGTGTTACATTTGCTGTTGCTTTCATTACAACTAATGCCCTCTATACAATCTTATTTATTTTTCCACTTGTTTCTCTGTAACAAAGAAACTAGAGGGGTGGCCGATGGCTCAAAGAATAACACGTTAGAGGCTGGTAACACATAGGACCCAGGTGCTTTCCAGGAATATCAGACATCTCGACTTGCATCAGCAGTTTCTTTCATGGACTTCTTAGGGGAGACTCTTCCCCTCAGCATGTCTCCGTGTCCAGTGCTCTTGAGGGGACCCCCGCTCCCTGACAGCAATTGCATTCATCTGTTTCTGGCCCGTGGCTCTGCATAACTACAGACTCTAGCAGCCGCACAAAGTAGGAGCAGAGAGCTGATTCACAGATGTGTTTCACTTGGCTACTGGAGGACACATCTGTATCGGAGGACCAGGGCTGCACAGAGGAAGCTGGAGACACATTGCCAAGATGAAGAACTCTGAGGATCGCCCCCAGGAATATAGTGATAATAGTACTTTTATGAGAAGCTTTTACATACGTTAGCTCATATGATTTTCTCAACTCTGAGGCATGTGAAGTAAAAATGAAGCGTTCTTTCCTCTGTTTTGACTACAGTATCTAGGTCTACTCTTAATATGTTTACATTACTAAAGCATTTCCAAAGTGTAAAGATTTCTCTCTGTATACTAATCTTCAGCTTCTAAAATGATCTCCTGTTCTGTTAACCATGACTATTAAGCTTGCCATAGACAGGCTCTCAGGGGACGCGAGACACAGGACAGGATTTTGTTGTAGTTTTGGAAACTTGCCCTAGTTTGAGGGACTAAAAAGATCTGGCACCTTCTATTCGATTTTATAGGTTCAAATATCATTGGCTAGTTGGCTATCGCTGTGGGTCTTGGCTTGCTGGAGACGTTGGTAACAGCGGGGTTTTGCTAACTTTAATACTCCATTTTAGGAGAGAAGCGTTCAGCATTTACACTGCCATTGTAGCTACTTTATTAACATGTTAAATAGTAACCAAGGACTGTTCTAAAAACTCATCAGATTTCCTAAGCTTTTTAAAACCATGCAAGTGTAATGTAGTCCGACTTCAAAGCTGCTGCTCTAGCCGTTGTCCCCATCATCTGGCTCGTTCAGTCTCCAGATGAAATTCGTGCAACTGCTCAAGTTCAGATATCTGTTACTGCCAGCTTTTAAGGCACCATAAGCACTAGTTACTTTGCCTGCTTTTTGTGACTACTTAGTGAATAGTTTTGAAATTACATTTCTTTTATCTCACCGCAGTAGACCCACCTAGAAAGATTTGCTTCGAAAAGTGTTTTTGAGGTAAAGTATAGGGCTGAAATTAAAAGCCTTACCTTGAAACTGCTATCCCAAAGACTGAGATTCTGACCTTAGTAAATAGGTAGTAACTACTTCATTGTCCCCCAGCAGCTCTATGTACCTGGCCCAGCATCTCTTCCAAGGGGACAGGGGATACAGTTGTACTAAGGTGCTCTCTGAATGTGAACTTAGAGAATTCTGAAATTTTCCTCTTCGAGTCTATTAGGTCACACAAATGACTTCTAGCCACATAGGTGTGCAAACATGCCTGCTAAGTTCCAACTACAGTGCCATCTTCTGACGGACTTGTGTTCATGTGGAGCAGAAGCCACAGCCCCCTGATTTTGTGGGGAGGTGAGGGTTCAGGCTGGGGGCTACTATCCACAGAGGCCCTGAGGGCCCTGGTGCTGGCTTCAGGTCACCCTGTTTTGTAAGACAAAAGACTGACCAGAGTAACCTTTAAAAAGGGGTTCCTGCATTCCTTGGGTTCCAGTTCCCATCAGCTCAGATGCATTTCTTAAACTCACAAGCTGTCACAGCAAGAGGGCTGGGCCTGTGGATAGTGTGTGCTCGTTTTACTTCTATCCATCCAGGGTCAGGCTTTATTCTACCTTTTCATCTGAAGCAGTACCTAGTTTTGGTTACATCAAATGAAACCCTTCAAAATTGTTACTGTTTTCTGGAGTCTGAATAAACTAACTGAAATAGTCTAATTAACAACTGGCCAAATCCTGTGGTCATTCTTAAAGACACTTTTCCTCCTTTTGTGGATTTAATCCAGACGTATAATTGAGCAATGCTGTCCTCAGTGCTCATAGGAGCTAGACATCCTTTGTCCTCCCAACAAACACTGTGCCCTTCCCAATGTTATTGTGCCCCGGAAGGAAAACAGTATCATACCATGGTGTGGCTAAGTTCCCATTTCAATTCCCCTTTATAGTCAACAATACTGTACAAACTTTTTTTTTTTTTTTTCTTTAAGAGAGCGAGCAAGTGGGCAGGCGGGCAAGCCAGGGTGTGGGGGTCGGGGGCAGAGGGAGAGGGAGGGAGAGAATCTTAAGCAGGCTCCATGCCCAGGCTGCAGCCTGACCCAAGGCTTGATCTCACAACGTGACCTGAAATCAAGAGTTGGACACTTAGCCAGCTGAGCCACCCAGACGCCTCTGCTGTACCAACTTTTATGGTGACAGACGGTAGCTAGATTTATTGTGGTTGCCATTTCACATCATGTATAAATGCTGCATCACCATGTTGTACCCCTGAAACTAATACAATATTTTATGTACATTGTTTTTTAATTTTTTTAAAAATACAAATTTAAAAAGTGATTAAAATAATAAATTCCCCTTGATTCGTGGTTCAGAAAATGTCCCCTTTGTCACACCTAAGTCTGTCTGTAGCACTGTCTTGTCCCTTAATGAGGGAACAGTCTGATGATTAGAGGCAACATTTGAAGACCAACATCTTCTATCTCATTGTCTTCTAATGGCTTATCTAGGCCATTGTCTAGATGCTCTGAAAGTCAGATGTGCTTATGGCCATTGTGCATATATATATCTGGTGGTATATTATGTTTTTTGCTTTCTATTTAGGACCAGGAAGAAAACAAGGGAGCGACAAGTTGGCCTGAATTCTACATCGATCAGCTCAATTCCATGGCTGCTGTAGGTATACTTTCTGTTCAATGGCACACAGTTTAAAAGGCAAATTTAGCACACAATTGGACAGTAAATTCACTTGAGTAAGAACTACCAAATGTCATTATCTTTCCAAACTCCATTCCAAACACTCAGTGTTGCGGGGATAGGGGGGAGTTGAAAAGGAGGGCAGGAGTTGTACTTGGCAAAATTATTTTTTCCAGTATGTTTTACATAAAATCAGCACACACTAAAATATACGTGAGTTTAATATTATAAGAGGAAATGTAATCTTAAATCTGGCTTATGTTCAACTTTAACTTGCAGTTGCTCTTACCAGTCGTTTGGAGTGTTGTTACGGCAGTAGTAGTCTACACGTTAATAGCATTTTACAATAATACAATGGAACTGTTCCTTCACTGTTCTCCTCCCATTCTCCTTTCCACCTGCTTAGCTCCTGGATTCTTGATGTTACAGGGCAGCCAGGTGCTCCTTCACTCTTGTAAATAACAAAGGGAGTTTATGGAATAAGTGGTGAATAAAAGACATAAAAATTATGCTGAGATGTCCTTGGGAAATCTTTGGTTAAGTAATTGCTTAAGATGCATTTTTCAGGGCGCCTGGGTGGCTCAGTGGGTTGAGCCGCTGCCTTCGGCTCAGGTCATGATCTCAGGGTCCTGGGATCGAGTCCCGCATCGGGCTCTCTGCTCATCGGGGAGCCTGCTTCCCTCTCTCTCTCTGCCTGCCTCTCTGTCTGCTTGTGATCTCTGTCTGTCAAATAAATAAATAAAATCTTTAAAAAAAAAAAAAAAAAAATTTTAAAGATGCATTTTTCAGTGCCTAAAATACGCCTCTGATCACATGGATGGCTGTGTAATGTCAGCATTCTGAGCACCCTTCAGGGCACGTATTGATCCCAGCTAAAATATGCAGCAGAAAACAAGTCCTCAATCTTTGAGCCTTAATAACTCAAATCCTATTCATGTCGATAAAAATCTGTGATTGCCCATGGTGCACCAGTGTTCACTTGTGTGGGTACACTCAGGATTTTAAGATCACTCTGTTAGATTCAACTTTGAGTTTATAATATCCATGCAAGATGATAGCTTCCATAATAAATATTTTTCTTTACCTCTTCCTCTTCTTCCTTTCCCAGGGTCCTTTTGGATAATTAGCTGCCTCATACTTAGGCAAACATTTAAAAAAAAATTGTCTAATATTTTGCTTCTGCTGCAAAAGTTAAAAACTGATTAGAATATGTGAATCACACTTTTATTAAACTTTCAGAGACATTGACTTTTAGTAGCTTCCTCTTTTCTAGCTTTTTCTTTGAAGATGCTTCTTTTGCTCTTGCACAATGAATAATAAACAGCCTAGTAAATGTGGACAGGGCTGTATAAATTATAGAAGAAAATGCATAAGCTTTTGCCCCGAGGATTTCTAGTTTAAAAGCACTGCAGAAAATAACACCCAGTGCCTCCTTGTCCAAGGCATCCTACATAATGGCAAAGATGAGAAAAGAGTGATCTCAGCATTTGTGTGAATACGTTAGCAAAGTGTGGGGCTTGTGACGACCATCGGGGATTTTTCTGTGCACAGCCTAAGCAGTAATAACTTAGAGCCATTTACATTTCCTGCGTTTGAAGGTTAAGTTCTAAATTCTTGTTCCTGGCTGGTAGGGAAAAAAAGAGCTGTGGGGCCGAAAGTCTTGCTTTCTAATTAAGTCAGCATTGTTTGATGTAATAAGGGAAGTTGCTTCTTCGTTAATGAATTCACTTCTATAAATGGAGAAGTGCTAAATACTATGGCATTTTTTTTTTCTTCACACTTTGGGGGCAATTAAGTTAATTTGTCCTGTAGTGACTTAACCCATGCCTTGTATGGAGTCACCCTGGCTCCTTTCCTGCACTAGGTCTGTGATGTGCCAGTATGAAGCACTTCTTTAAGAGCCTTCTTTCTCCTTCGGCCAGCTCCTTGGACAACCCTGTGCTGCATTCATGAATCATCTACATTTTAATTATATTTGCTTCCTATTCCAAAATCCTTTCCAAGAGTATCTCAAGGCAATTAAATTGTCAGTCACTTTGCTATTCTTTACCTGCTTAACACCTAACAAAGCTTTCTAATGCTCCTGGAAGGACAGAGGTGGCATCTTTCTAGGGTTAAAGGTAAAAGGCAGTAACAACTCCTGAGTTAGTGAGCCTGCAGAACTCCTGTGTATGTAATGAACAAGGAGGTCTGGTGAGACCAAAAACCCTATGCTGAATTTTCTGTTTTTCTCACCTTATTTGTTGCTACCGCCTCCTACTGTGGCTCTGGCTGGTCTCTCTGCTAACCGTATTGGAGATTTCCCAACAGTATACAGCAGAGAGCCTGAGACATTGTCCCTGGGGACTAGGAAGACCTACAGTTCCTCCAAATCCTTTGACAGCCTGGCAGCTCAACTTGAGCTCTGTAGCTTAGGGATTTGTTGAAGGGGATTGATCCACGCTGTTACCGTCCTTTGTCTTCAGCATCCCTACCTCTCTGGAGCGTGCAGTGTGGGACAGCAGCATAACAGGCACTTTACTGGTTGTTTTAAATCCTTATAAGCGCCGGGTGCTGGAAGTGCTGTTTATAGATATAGATAAGGAGTCTAGGACTCGGAGAAAGGTTACCTTGCCGAAGGTCATCTAATTAGGAACAGGAGAGCTGGAATGTAAACCTATCAGACTGAGCCCAAAGATTCCATTCTAATTTGCCTCTCACACAGTTTTTTAAAACCCTTTGGCAAGTAAAAGAGGCCTGTAATCCCACCCCCACCTCCCCCGACTTTTCCGAGGTGGGGCAGGCATCTGTTTTCTTTAACGCCTCCAGAGTCTGAGGAACAGCCGGAGTCCAGAACTGCGGCAGTCAGCTGGTCTGCGGAACAAGTTCAGTGACCGCGTAAGCTTCTTGACAAGGATGCTTTGTTCTTTAGAGGACCCCAGAGTGATCTGCTGGCTTTTAAAGAGCGAAAAACAGTATCATAAAAGCACAGCCCAATAGGTTCGAGAAGGACCTGGGCTTCCTTTGGATGGGGTTCTCCGTGCCCTCCCAGGGAGGAAGGATGCAAGGTGAAGTTCAGCGCGCTGAGCAGACGGCGTGTTGATTTCACACCAATGTTTCCAATAGGAGTGAAATGTTTCCAATAGGAGCTTAGTACCAGACACCTAGACAGGAATGATTTCTGTGCCTACTTTGTATCTCTCAGAACTGGATGTTCCAGTGCACACCTTAGTAGCTTTCATCAGATCCTCTACCAGGAGGCGCTTTGCCCTTTGCCCACTTCCAGGCAAAGGGGATTGAATAAGTGCAGAGAGCACCCAGGGAGGCCGCCACAAGCCTGACCTGCGTATGCCAAGGGGCATACTAGATGGTTGGCCTAGCAGCTCTCTTTAGAAAGTAGGGATGTCTCTTTTATCTGTGAAAAGCTGCAAATCAAGCCTTCTTCCTCAATGTGAAGCTTGAAAACTTTAAACTTCATATATTTTATTTTGAAAAGTCGTATTAGAATATCATGTTCATCTGCATACCCTCAGTTTTCTTAGTATAACAAACGCAATTTTTTATTCAAATCTAATTGTATCACATACAGAAAAGAGTGTGTTGCCTCTGTTTTAAAAGGAAGGTAATGGTCCTTACACTGGGAAAGGAAATTCTAATTCAGTTTTCTCGACTTTTCATAAATCTCCCAGCTCTCCTAGCAAAAGACTTACTGTAGTCTGTTTTTATGCAGATGTTCCATCCTCTCCAACATTGTTAAAAGAATAATTACGTGCATCTTTCTTTGGTATTAGTGAACCATAATAAGAAATGTGTGTCTTCAATTTGGGTATAGTTTTGTGTGATTAAGCTTAGGAACAAGCGGTGATGTTAATAAACAGCTTGATTCTGAGCTGCGGATTCAAAGTGATTGCTTCAGAGTCTAAACGAGTTCAGCTGTGTCATAGGAGATTAAACATACTTGGCTGGATTCGGGCTGAATTTTCCAGGGAATGGGTCTCACAGAGCCGTGAAGAAATTTATTGGCCATTTCTGCACACAGCTTCCTCCCCTGCCGTCCCCTGGTCACAGCTGTCCAGGCACATCACCAGCAAGAGGACAGTGTCCGCAGAAGCAGTAACACGTTTGAAAACGAGACTTGACTGATTTTTATTTCGGTTGCCTTAAACGATACTGATATATTTCTTTGGAGCTTTGACCCTCCTAATTGTGAAGTCAAATTTAGGTTTTAGTTCCCATTTAGTTACTTAATACTGATACTATTAACTTGAAAAAATGAAGTCAAGTCACGCTCTGATGATCTGTAGTCCTGAAAGAAAGGGAGCGACCAGATCATGGAGACACAGGGATAAGAGCCAAACCTCCCTTCCCCGCTGCCCCACAATACCCCAGTCTGTTTCCCAGCCATGCATTCTATCAGAAGTGGGAGCAGGAAGGGAGACTGAGACTAGAATAGCACATGTTCAGAACAGGATGATGGCAAGGGACCAGCAGCCCTGAGGCCATTAAGACTGCAGGATACTTTTAGTACAACTAGGTGATCATGGGCTCAAAGGAATGGAATAGACTTTCTCACAAAGATAAACCTTACTAGCACTCGTGACTATAATGTCAACTGAGATCTTCCTGAGAGCCTTGCTCTATGGAGTGCGGCCCGTAGACCTGTAGCATCGGCACTGCACGGGAACTAGTCAGAAGTGCAGCGTCTTGGGCTTCCCTGCAGACACACCAAATCAGAGCCCTCGTTTTAGCAAGAGCCCCAGGACATCCATGTCCTCATTAAAGTTTGGGAAGCTCTGCTCAACAGATCCCCAGGTAGGGAGGGTGTAAGCCTCCCACCCGCTCCCTCAAGCACACACTCCACAGCCTCATTTCCAAGTGAAGTTGAATCATTTTTAGAACTTAAGTATTTACTCTGAAACAATTGTTCATCTTAGTATTGGGTCTGATTTGATTGTTCCTATTAAATGATTTGGCATAACAAAAAGTGTAGAAGATTCTACTTTTCTGCTTGAGGATTACACAAACTGCCGTGGTTTGATAGTGTCATAGTGTCACTAACTTGAGTTGCCAGAATGCTGTATTTAACTGCAGATCCAACCTTCTTTCTATCAAATATAAATAGTAATGTTTTCATCAGAGTGCAGTTATAGTTATATAACTATAGTTGAACAAGTTAATCTCTACCGAAGATTTCTAAACATTTCTTAAAGCTTTATCTAAATTTTGAAAGAACATTCAGTAGAGGTAACTATTCAGTAGAGGTAAGAATTCTTAGTACTTTTGCTCTATATTTTGGTTTTATAGTAATCCTAGTAATAGATTTATTAGTTGTTTATTTGTATTAAAAGTGATAGTAGCATTTAATCTGTGGACTTGTCTTGCTTGTATCCTAATTAAATCATAGAATTTGAAGAGGTAACTTCAGTTTTCTTTGCATAGAGAAAATCTCTCCTGGCTTTAGAGAAGGAAGAGGAAGAAGAGAGAAGTAAAACTATAGAAAGTTTGAAGACCGCACTAAGGACAAAGCCAATGAGGTAATTCTTTCCTGGATAGCATGTATAACTTCTCTCTCTCTCTCTCTCTCTCTCTTTTTCTTCTTCTGCCCTTTCTTTCTCCCTTCTTTCCTACCCTCCTTTTTTCTTTTTTCTGCAATAGCCAAACTTTCAAGGAAGTCTTAAAAACCTTCGGTTGAATCATGGGTGAAATATTTTAATCATGGAACATTCAATAAATGATTTTCTTCAATTAAAAGATATGCAGACAGCTGTTAAGATGACATAAATTTAAAAAGACAGACTAGCAAGTGTTGGTGCAGATGTGAAGAAATCACAGCCCTTGTACATTGCAGGTGGGAATGTAAAATGGTGCAGCCACTTCAGAAAACAGTTGGACAGTTTCTCAGAATGTTAAACATAGTGTTGCCCTATCACCTGTCAATTCTACTCCTCAATATATAGCTGAGGGAACAGGAATGTTCATGTTAACAGTATTCATAATGACCAAAAAGTAGAAACAACCCAAATTCTATCAGCTGATGAATGGATAAATACAAGGTGATATATCCATACAATGAATTATTATTCAGCTCTAGAAAGGAATAGACTATTGATACATGCTACAACATGGACGAGCCTTGAAGTTATTTATGCAGAGTGAAAGAAGCCAGATGAAAAAGGAAAGCATATTACATGATTCCATTTCTGTAAAACATCCAGAAGACACCAATCCATACAGACAGAAAGACCAAACCATTCAGAGAGAAAAATTAGTGGTTTCTTAGGGTTGGGGAGAAGGGGAGATGCTCCTTCGGGGATGACTAGAGTGTTCTGAAATCAGATGATGTCAGTGGTTGCACAGCTCTGTGAATATCACTGAATTATACATTTGAAAGTATGAATTTTATGGCATGTGAGTTATGTCTCAATGAAACTGTTACTTAAAAATATGGGCAGTCAGCCTCCACTTGTGTATCTCTCACACCTTCATTTTCCATTAGTCTTTAAGGTTTGGTGGAATGTTGGATTCCTTATAGGTACATTTCATTAACATGCGAGCTGTGAATGAAGCCACTTGATTTAACCAGCTGGGCTATATCTGCGTTGTGTAACTGCATGAGATGGCTGGAAAATAAAGATTTCCTTTTCTTTATTTGACTATAAAATGCTAACTAAGAAAAATATATTGATTTATCAAAAATCCTATGCAGTTGTATGACAAAGGTTTTGTACCAATCCTAACTACATCAGTATTTTCCTATTTGTGTGTGTGTTTGCATTCTCAGATGTTAATAGGTATCCAAAACTAAGTAAGTTTGGAAATTTCTGGAGTAGTCATATAAACAAGTTATGTTATTTTGGAAATTTTCAGAGTTTCACGTGTATATGTGCATCGTGAATTTTTCTCATCAGTTTACAGTAAATAAATGCCATGGGTATCAATTAATGTGCAGTAACAAAGGCTCACTTTTGTTTTATTTTAGCAGTTTATTTATTTAGTTTTTTAAGTAGGCTCCAGGCTCATCATGGGGCTTAAACTCATGACACTAAAATCAAGAGTCACATGCTCTGTGGACTGAGCCAGCCAGCTGCCCTTTATTTGTTTTATATATAGGCATTCCCGTAGCATGTCCTACAAAAGAAGGGCTTTGCTACAAAATGTTAGTAATATAGATTATCATTTGATAAGCAAATATCCTGGAGCTTAAGGATGTTCTTTGACTTTCATTGGTATGGGTCACTGGTTAACATAGAGGTGTTTAGGAAGTTATAATAACACAGGACTTTTTTTTTTTTTTTTAAGATTTTATTTATTCACTTGACAGAGATCACAAGTAGGCAGAGAGGCAGGCAGAGAGAGAGAGAGGAGAAAGCAGGCTCCCCGCTGAGCGGAGAGCCCAATGCGGGGCTCGATCCCAGGACCCTGGGATCATGACCTGAGCCAAAGGCAGAGGCTTTAACCTACTGAGCCACCCAAGCACCCCTTAACACAGGACTTTAAGACCACATATTCTGAGTGTCTTCTTGTTCTTGATTTACAGTGGCTCTATGATCCATTCGTTGGTTTTGTTTCTTGTATCGGTTGAGATCTGTTTATCTCAAACAGAGATTATTTCACGTATCTGGTAGAGCTGACCATTGGGTTTGTGCTGAGGAAGGGGTCAGGAATTCAGAAGACTTTATTCATGAGGTCTTTGATACTGCAGGAACTACATCTTCCTTTTTCCTGTCCGGGCAAAACTTTTCTAGTAAGGGCTATTAGAAAATCGCAAAGAGACCTAAGTCTGATCCATTTTAACCTTCTTCTCCTGCCAGGTTTGTAACCAGATTTATCGACTTGGATGGCCTGTCATGTATTCTCAACTTTCTAAAGACCATGGACTATGAGACCTCAGAGTCTCGAATACATACCTCTCTCATTGGATGTATAAAGGCGCTAATGAACAACTCTCAAGGTCGGGCTCATGTCCTGGCCCACTCTGAGAGTATTAATGTGATTGCTCAGAGTCTGAGCACAGAGAACATTAAAACGAAGGTGGCTGTGCTGGAAATCTTGGGCGCCGTGTGCCTGGTTCCCGGGGGCCACAAGAAGGTTCTGCAGGCCATGCTGCACTACCAGAAGTATGCCAGCGAAAGAACCCGCTTTCAGGTGGGCATGCTCGCTCTTCACTTTGTCATCCACCCCGTCTGACAGGTGCTTTCCTGGCCCTGAAGGGGATCATCACTTAAGATTCCCCTCTGTGGTGATGACTCAAGTGTTTCCTTCTTCTTGGGTTTTAGTACCAGAGTAGAATATGCTTTCAGTCGTTGATCAACCTGGGATTTTAGACTTAATGAATTTGAAAATGTGGCCCTGCTTCCTACAACACATCTTTTGAATCCACTAAATGCAGTGTTCCCTGAAATTTCAGGTTACCATTCCTGATTTAGTATCAGTATAAACAGTGAGATTATGTCACCGTATTTATACTCAAATATAAAAAGCAAGCCAAGTCAAAAGCAGTCTTTTGTACTTTGCATGCATGTATAAATGGACATAGGTGATGTAGGAATTTTGAAAGTAGAGTGTTTTGAACATATTTTAAGAAAAATAAAAGGTGGCTTTTCTATAGATCCATGTGATTCTGAGTAAACATAAGATTTAAAACATTTACTTCTGAGTATAAAAATCAATAAAATGAGTGTAAGATTAGTAATGATTCCATCCTTTGTTTTTATGTTTGTATTCTTGGTAGACATTAATTAACGACTTGGATAAAAGCACAGGGCGGTATCGAGATGAAGTGAGTCTCAAGACTGCCATCATGTCCTTCATCAATGCAGTGCTGAGCCAAGGTGCAGGAGTGGTAAGAACCTTCCATACTACTCTTGAAAGCATGTATTATTAAAGAATAATCTTCTTAAAAAGGTTTTTGTGAGTCCAAAAAGCATAAATATGTGTTTTATCACCCTTTCACTTTCAGGAAAGTTTGGACTTTAGACTTCATCTGCGCTATGAATTTCTGATGTTAGGAATTCAACCTGTAATAGATAAATTAAGGGAACATGAAAATTCAACATTAGATAGGTAAGTCAGATTGGTATCATCTGAGATAGCTCATGCTTTTTTCCTTGTACGTAGTGCCTGTGACTTGCATGTGGCCTTTCTGTAACATAAGGAGTTGGCTCCCAAATATTAGTTCAATGAATGGTGCTTTTGTGTTAAGACTTTGTCAGTGAAAGAAGTAAGACATTGTATAGAGAACTTAATGCGGGACGTGGCATCAGACTGAATCCACGTCCTCGTCCTACCTCCTAACTTGCTATGTATTCTGGTCAAGGTGGTCAGTTTTTCTGAATCTTACTGGTTGGTTCCCCCCCACCAAGAAATAGTGATAATAATGATGACCACTATCTTTTGTGGGCTGTTATGAAGATTGGCTATAAGACATGGAATCTCTTGGCACCATGAGAGGCATTCTGTGAATGTGAATTTTCACTCTCTTGTTCATTTGCTCTTGTTTGTAATCATTTCACTATTTCTAAGCTATCCCACTAGCTAGCTCTCAGACCTTTCCTTCTACTTCCTCATTCATGCACTCTGAACATGCTCTTCTCCTTGATAGTCTATGACCATGTCAAAATACTTTTGCCTCAGGGCCTTTGCACTTGCTATTTTCTCAGCATTAAAAGATCTTACCACGGATGTCTAAATTGCTTATTCCCTTCTTCCCTTCAAAGAGAGCTTTATCAGCAGTATGTGTACACAACTCACATCACCTCCCATCATCCTCTTTTCCCTTTACCCTGATGTACTTGTCTTCATAGAACTTATCCTCAATGTCTAAAATACATAGTAGGGGTTCAGTAAATACTTGAATGAATAAGTGAATGGCATGAATATTTCTTTGATGGTCTTAATTCATCAGTCAGGCAAGTGTAGATATATGGACTTATTTTTCTTTCTTTCTTTCTTTCTTTCTTTCTTTCTTTCTTTCTTGCTTCCTTTCTTTCTTTGTAAGATTTTATTTATTTATTTGGCAGAGAGAGAGAGACAGAGATCACAAGTAGGCAGGCAGAGAGAGACGGGGAAGCAGGCTCCCCACTGAGCAGAGAGCCTGATGTGGGGCTCGATCCCAGGACCCTGAGATCACCATCTGAGCCGGAGGCAGAGGCTTAACCCACTGAGCCACCCAGGCGCCCCCAGACTTATTTTTCCATAAGGGAGTCTGTGAGCAGAATCTGGACTTGTTTTTGGATTTGATAAATATTTATTAATTGTCTACTATATACCAGCCATTCTAGGTTTTGGGGTTTTGTCTCTTATTGTGATCTCATTTCAGTCAGAGTATGTCTTTTTCCTTTTAACAGTTAAGTAAAGGCATCCAAATTTTGTTGTCTTATTTCTTTTAGAGAAATCTATGAATATTCAGGAAAGGCCTTCGTATTAACGTCCTAATTCCCATGTGCTTGTGTTTGTAGGATGTTCTACTTTTAATAGCTTCTCTTTTATTGGATTTCAGACATTTAGATTTTTTTGAAATGCTCCGAAATGAAGATGAACTAGAATTTGCCAAAAGATTTGAACTGGTAGGTATGCTCACAATTGTTCTGATTTAATTCATCAGCTCCTAGAATTTCCCTATTGTGTGTTGAGTGGACAAGGACTGGGTATAACCTGCTGCCCACGTGGCAGGATTAGCTGGTTGCCTTGGATTTGCTTACGTTGCTTTGCAGATATTGAGGATATCGGCTATTTGACTTAGATTTCTTTTTCATATGGAATAGGTTCACATAGACACAAAAAGTGCGACTCAGATGTTTGAACTGACCAGGAAGAGGCTGACCCATAGCGAAGCTTATCCTCACTTCATGTCCATCCTGCACCACTGCCTCCAAATGCCTTGTGAGTGTGTTTGCGACTTACATGTGTGTTTTCCGAGTGTTTGGACATCATCCAAAGGGCCCTGTCTTCTGAGCAGTACTGATTAGGTCGGGTGCACACCAGGGATTCCATACCTTGGTTTTGTGACAGTCCACAGTGTCTCCACACAGCTCCAGTGGTGAGCTGTGTCTTGTGACATTCCAAAACTGAAGGGAATTATAACCTAGTTTGATTTTAAAAATAAATATATGCCTCACAACACATTTCGAAAAGGCTAGAAAGTGCCTCTCAATCACATAAGTGATCACTGCATGTCGGAATTCCAGAAACTTCGGGAAGTGCTGGTGCAGATGTAAACATCTCTGATTCTGTGGCTCTGGCGGGTGACCACTATTGAAAAATATTCATCCTAGTTTAGAAACAACTTGAAGTATTTTTCCACCATTCTTTTCTTTTTTAGATAAGAGAAGTGGCAACACCGTTCAGTACTGGCTACTACTAGATAGAATTATACAGCAAATAGTTATTCAAAATGACAAAGGACAGGACCCCGACACCACACCTTTGGAAAACTTTAACATTAAGAATGTCGTACGAATGTAAGTTTCTTATTTTGCGGTCTGTGAGATAATAGTCACCATGTAAGACATTTATTTTTTCCCTACTTTAAAATAGCAGCTGGGGAACTGAAATGTTCTAGACGTCAAATATGAGTATATATATAGATAGATGTATATATGTAATATATACATCTATCTATATATATATATGTAATATATCTGAGTAACATCCGGGTTTAAATGGGTTTCAAGCATACTGAGGGCTTTCTGTGCAGTGAACTATTTTTGTACCTTGAGAGCATGTATTTTGGCAGTGGGCCTTTTATATTTTTTATAACGAATACTCCTTTAACTATTATACAGGTTGGTTAATGAAAATGAAGTTAAACAGTGGAAAGAACAAGCAGAAAAGATGAGAAAAGGTAAATAATGAGGCCCCGACAAGAGAAGAGGCCGTGTTACTGGTTAATTGGGCAGCTCTGCCCTCTGTATATTTTAGAAATTTGCGTTAATACTTCTTCCTGACTTTAGTGCATCAAACAGTCTTTCCTTTTTCCATGTCTTAGGGGCATTTTTGCCCTGTTTTCTCTTGAATCGAGCTATTTTAGTTGTCATGCTGATTGCCAAGTATTTTATTCTTTTATTATAATTATGTAAATTTTTTTGGAAGAGCTTGTAGCATTTGGTGTTTGGTATTCATTGATTCAAATTTTCTTAGCTACTGCTCCTTCCAGCCCTCCCTGCCCCGCCCCATAACTGTTCGTTAAGTCACACTAGGTTTTAAGAAATGTAATAAAGAACAGCAGGGATGACCCAGATTTTAAAAGGGGAACCCAGGCCACTTGGTTTCAGCAGCCCCATTTGCCATGTGACCTTAATTTGGTACCAGTTATAAAAAGAAAAATCATGTAGAAAACCACTGACCATTGTAGATATATACATTATGAGACTTTCACAGACCAGCTCTTGGTGAGTATTTGAATATGTCTTTGGTATTAACACTCAGCATCAAATGCCAGGAGGGTCGTTTGTGCCTATTGCTGTGCCAGCTGCAGAGAAGGGACATAAGTTGCCCCACTTCCTTCAGAATACAACAACTGACGTTGGCCCTTTTGTAAAAACAGTCCTGTTCCTGGCCTCTGCTCTTTCACTATGCTGGTTAACTGACTTCCTTTTCCTGGTCCAAGTTATTTAGCCACAGCCAGCAAAACACAATAGCACTCACCCCGATATTAGTGTGTTGAAAAAGAGGGTCCAAGAGATGCCAAAGCATTTCCTTTTTCCTCATCACATTTGTCCTTTTCCATTGAGCAGAAAAGCAGAGCCTCCACTGCTAGCAGGAAATACCATGTGTGAAGTACATTTATATTACAGGTTCCTCATGTAAGGAACATTGCTCTCACATAAGCAAGGTTGCCACATACATTTTTTATTAATAGATTCCAGAAACTGTTACAGAAAGAAGAGAAACACTGACTAAGAGGTTGGGTTGAAGAGAGATTATACCAAAGAGAAGATGATCGGTGGGGAGACCTCTAGGGGTGCCCTCTAGAGCATGGGGATTCAAGGGTGCAAGCTGAGGAGAGTATGTAGGACTGAAGCTTTGGAGTCATTCATTTGTTCCGTGGATGCTTGTCTAATGCCTGTATGTATCAGGCACTGCACTGGGCTCTGGGTGTGTGCGCAGGCAGTGATGTCCTCTTCTCCACTCTTCTTCCTCTGTGAGATGCAGATTACACCCAGCTCACAGAGCTGTTACAAAGATTAAATGACAAAGCAAATAAAGAGGCTCTAATGTAATGCCTGGCACATATGGTTACACAGTAAATAATAGGGACTGCGGTAGGATTCTCCCCGCTTAGGTGGTACAAGAGATAATGGCCAAGGTCAGTGAGGTCACAGGGAGAGTGTAAAAAAGGAGGTACTGTAGATAAAATTAATTCTTTTCTGAAAGCTTCAGGTAGCAAGGGTGTATTAAAGAGGGCATACTTTGATGAATCGGAGGGTGGAGGCTGTGAGGAGATGGGAAGTTCTCTGGACCTGGAAGGTGGAAATAACTTGGTGTCATTTGTGGAAAGAAGCCTTTTGGCAGTAGCTTCCCAGACATGGTATTATATCCGAGTCATCTGATGGGCATTTGAAAACCAGTTCCTAAGCCCTGTCCCCCCAACCATAGAACAGACTCCCAAAACGTTAAAATCTTCTCAGGTGGTTCTGACGCACAGCTGGATTTGTCATAGCTTCATGACCAGTGATCAGAGGCAAGTCTTACAATTGTGGAAGAGGAATGAAGTGGAGGTAGAAGAGGAGACTGGGGTGCAGTGAGGTCATTTTTAGACACATCTCGGAGGAAGTCAGGGGCGCACTCCGCAGAGTGGCAGAAGCGGACTGGTGGTTATCTTGACTCCAAGGCTTTCTAGTGGCTTGACCTCTTCTCTGTGAACTGAGTTGGGGGGACTCAGAAAGTAAGAGACAGAGAAAGCAAGAATTTAAATGTGTTACCAGATTCAGAAATAGAGACCAATTCTGTGTAGCTCTGCCCCAGTGGATTATATCTCTGGTGGGTTTACTAAATAAAAGGAGTAGGAATCGAGGCCAAGTATTTGAAATAAAAATCTGCAACCTAAACTTCATTAGTCTTTTTTCCCAAAGCCTCTCACTCCTTTGAGGGTTGGAGTCAGCAGGCATATTGGCAATGTAAATAAGCATTAGGCTAAATTGGATGCCTTGTTCCATTAGAGCAGGATTGGAAGTCAGTAAAACTACAGCGGACACCTAATAGTTCTCTCCCCAGATTATGGTGATTCTCACACTCTGCCCTTCAGGTTTTTAATGCTGAGATGATAACATTTGCTTTCACAAGTTTTAAGAATTATTTGTCAGAAGCATGAAATACTTCAAGTCCAAGTAGCTTTCTGAGAGGAGAACAGGAGAAGGGACTCCGTGTTGGGACAGACATGGTCTGACATCAGCATGTCCTCACAGAACAAGATCTTCCCTTTCAGCCCTGTGCTCGTTGGACATGAGCCAGCAACCTGGCTAATAAATAGTGGCTTCTCTGGTTCTCATTTCTAATTTGTGAAAAGAGGCCCTTTTAATATTCATTTTCCCTAGAGTGATTAAAGGGCCATTTTTATGACAGGATCCTGAAGTAAGTACCAACCAGGCCCCATTCTCCTCCGCAAATAGGTGCTCACACTTTAGGGTCTCTTCTGTAGCTAATAATGTTCGTCTAAGGACCCCTCCAAGTACTAACACCACTGAGCCTGCGAGCTGCTCCCTTTGATGGAGAAGAGGAATAATATTTACCTAATAAAGAGCCTCAACAATCATCTGCAGCCAATTTTCTGTTTAGAGAAAGCGCTTCCACTTTGAAGAGTCCCGTTTTCATGTCCCGTTGTTTTCTGGTGCAGAGCACAATGAATTACAACAGAAATTGGAAAAGAAGGAGCGCGAGTGTGATGCCAAGACCCAAGAGAAGGAAGAGATGATGCAGACCTTAAATAAAATGAAAGAGAAACTTGAAAAGGAGACTAGCGAGCATAAGCAAGTCAAGCAGCAGGTGGCGGATCTCACAGCACAGCTCCGTGAGCTCAGCAGGGTAAGTGCGGTGAGGGCCGGGCGGTGGGCCGAGGCCGCACTTACCCTGGAGACCCTCCTCACCTTAGGCAGACAGCTTCTGCCTGGGGGATAAATCCCGGTGATTTATCACCGGGGTCGGAAGACTCGCTGCCTCCGATATCCTGTGGGTTAGGCAGTAGAGGCGACGTGAGGGTGTGCGTTTCTAATACAGGTCCTCTCATCAGAGCAGAGGGACTCACACTGACTTCTCGAAATGAAAACTGATTTTTTGAAAACCATACCATGATGCTACAAGAAGCGAGACATATGTGAATGAGCGCTTTACAAATTAGCCCTGAGGTTCAAGATACAAAAGGCTGACTCAGTTGTCCCTGAAGAACCTAACGCCCATTTGATTTACTGCCCCTGCAAACCCATCTTCTCAGAAGTGTGGATTTCTCTATAACATACATTTTAGGCAAAGTTTCAGACTCTCAGACTCACCCGATGAATTTACTTCTTCCGCTGACCTTTTGTCCTTTTTTTTTTTTTTTTTTTTTAATCTTTTCAGAGAGCCCTCTGTGCTTCAATCCCAGGCGGACCCTCACCTGGAGCCCCAGGGGGGCCCTTTCCTTCCTCTGTACCAGGGTCCCTCGTTCCGCCCCCACCACCTCCACCCCTGCCAGGTGTAATGCTTCCACCTCCACCCCCTCCCCTTCCTCCAGGCGGCCCTCCTCCTCCCCCGGGGCCACCTCCCTTAGGAGGGATCCTACCACCTCCTGGTGCTCCACTGGGGCTGGCACTCAAGAAGAAAAACATTCCGCAGCCCACAAATGCCCTGAAATCCTTCAACTGGTCTAAGCTGCCTGAGGTAAGCCCTCTGTTCTAATTTTCCCTCTAAGGGATAGCATTAGCAGCTCACAGTGTCGTGCCCGCAAAGGGAAACAGTCCTGGCCGTTAACTGATTTCATTTTCTAGTATGGACTTGGGTTCTCGCTAGCTCAGATATTTACGTGATAAAACTGGACTAAGTGGCATGTTGTCTGAAGCCAGCCCACTTTGAGCATCTGGTAAAATGAAAAATTGGGGATAGTAGCACTTTGAAAAAAAAAAAAATAACCGTGTCTATTCTTTTTGTGTATTAACTATAACTCTAGCACTTATTAACATGTTGTTTGCAGAATAAACTAGAAGGAACAGTATGGACTGAAATTGATGATACAAAAGTCTTCAAAATTCTAGATCTTGAAGACCTGGAAAGAACATTCTCTGCCTACCAAAGACAGCAGGTAACAACACGTGCTCTCCAAGATGCTAAAAGAATAAAAAAAAAATCATCCTTGTGCCTGGTCCCTGGGCCATCTGTCACCCCATGATGTGATAGGCATCTTAGTTCTAGGCTGTTGGGTCTACCCTGGTATGTTCCTGCCAAGCACCGTGGTGTGTGTGTGTCCACATATTTGTCTAGGTACCTGTCAGTTGTGTGTGTGAACATGTTGAAACTCATACCCTGGTGTGTGTTCAAGACCTTATCTCCTTTGGTGGAGGCAGTTCTTAATACTTCTTATTATTATCACTTGTACTTAGTCCAGAAGGGTCACCAGGAGCAAATAGTACTAGGAGACCTACCTAATTTGTATTGTCCCCTCACGAGGTGTGTTTCTCAAGCCATTTTAGTATATCTGGCTTTTAAATATATGTATCAAGTGGTTATTATCAGAAGTAGACTGCTCTGAAGTAGGTGGAACTTTTAGAAGTGCAGAAGTTTGTAAATAACTCTAACTTGGCAGCTAGCTAGAACCTCGGAGAAGAATTCTGACTGTATGTCATGAACCAGATAGACTCAGAAGTGGGGCTGGGAAGGCGGAGCTAGTTGGTAGATGGCACTGATAGAGAGGACCAGAGAAGCTTCTGAAACATGAGCAAAGCGTTTGTGATACTAGTGAGAATACTAGTGGTACGTGGTGCTTGCTGGCTGGCTGTGTCGACGTGACCAGGTAGCAAGCATGATGCCGTAAGCCCCAGTCCCATCTGGGTGGTACCTCTTACTCCTAGAGATGGCATCTTCGTAGATCCTCCTAACAGAAGACCAGAAGAGGTCACAGCAAGGTGGCTGGGTACAAAGAATTTCAGAAGAACAAGGAACAGGTGGAGTAGGGTCCCAGTCAGACACCTGGGAAGGGCTACATTGTGTCCTGGAGCATGAGCAGGAAGATTCTTCAGGGTGACCAAAGAGATGCTGCAGAGAGCAGAACAGGTCTTACTAGGAACGCACGGATGGCAGGCATCCGCACAGGGGCTTTCCTTGGGCTTTGCTGGGAGGTCTTTAATGCCTGCAGGAATCATGCCCAGGCAGGGTGGGGGGCGTCCTCAGACAAGCTGTGCACGTCCTAGTCTGCTTAGGCGGGGCCTGGTTCCCAAGGAAAAGTGTCTCAGAACAGAATAAGCAAGCATCAGGAGAAGATGGGCTGAGGCTGGGGAGAAGAAAAGCTGACACATTTTTATTTCAAAACCTTTGATGCATCTGAACTTGAAAAGGTAGTGTATGCCTTTTAGTCAGACTATTTCACCGAGAGGGAAAGCTTCTCTGTAGTGCATTTTATGCTATGCCAGTAGAGTATGAAAATGCAGATGGTTGTGTGTTATGGTAGCATGACCCTAAAACAGGAGCCCTCAGCTGGGACCTCCCTCCCTCCCCCTGTAAGTATGAAGCAGTTGTACACACAAAATAAAGGAAAACAAAGAAAAAAACGATAAGACATGCCCAGTAGCTTTCAAAGGACAACCGAAGGGTATGTTTTTGGGCCCTCGTATGGCAGGTGCTTGGATCAGGCTTGTTCCTGATTGGCTGTGATGGGCCTCCTCTCTCTCTGCTGACCCAGGAAGGTGTTCTCTGGGTGACATTTTAGCAAATTTCCTGTTAGATTCAAATGATCTTCTGACCTCATTGCACATCCAATGGATTTCCCACTTCAGTTTTTGTCACTATTACTGACCCATTCTGGATGCCTAAGATGAAGGTTTGGGAATTCAGAAAAGTGAATTAAAGGAAGGGAAAACAGCAGTTATTCCAAATGCTGCTGTTCAAGTCTGAGCGTGTAGGCTGCACTTATTATGAGAGCAGGTGGTTCGAAGACCCAAGTTTGCAAGACTCATCATTAACAGGCTTTCAACAGAAGGTGCAGAAGGATGCCGCCAAAGTGCTCTGGGACAAATACATGGACAGTTCTCAAGAGCTCTGGGAGATGGGGTTGTAGAAAGCCTAGCAGTTGGGTAATTGTCTCCTAGCAACCAGTTGCTGTTTAAGTAATCAGTAGTCATTCCCGTCAGTATAGACCAGAACATTTCAGTTGTACTTAACACTAAGTAGACTGTTAAGTAGAATCATTTGTGACATTTTCAATAGCACTTCCTGGAAAAAAAATTTCAACACACTTGGCTCAGCTTAATTGAAGTATGTTTCCCCTCTTGGTGCAAGAATTTGAGATGAGATTTTTAAACCATAGATATATTTCCCAAATGAAGGTAATTCGAGCCATTTTATTGAGTTTATTACATGTTGAGAAACCAAAAAAAAAATCTAACGATGCAGACATTCTAGTAGAAATATGTAGGACAGAGTAAAGGAAATGGGGTATCTGTCATTGCGTGTTCCCTAGTCTCCTATCTAATGGCAATGTGTAAGACCCGTGCATTTTCATTTTAATCTTGGCAGTGCACTATGTAATTATCATCACACTTGAACTGCTCTCTTTTCCACTCCCAAGTGAATACTGGGAGCCTATTTTTTTCTATGGTATCTCCTCTTTCTTCTCTCCAGTTATAAAACCCTGGTCAGATTGCCTGAACTTCAGCTTGAGCAAGTCAGTTTCTCAGGCAGAAGAACACTTTAATGCCATTACTTGCATGCCTGTAACAAGAACACTACATAGAGTAAGATTTTGAACAAAATCTCAAATATGAGATTAGTATAATTTAGGTGAACACTGATTTTTGATATTTAGGAGAGATTTTATATATGTACACATACACAAAAAATGCCCAGTTGATCTGAGAAATATTTTATCATTAAAATCAAAACGTATTTATAATGTCTGCTTTGTATATGAAATACTTCAAAGGTTACAGATGTATTAAACTGTTACACAGGTGTACGAAGCAACTTGCCACATAAAAGCAAAGCAGAGGACAATCTGCAAACAACCATAATATAGACTAAAAAATGACAATATTAAGTATCTATTACATTTTTGGTGCTAAATACGAAACACATAGTCCCAGTCTCATCAACCCCAAAATTTAATTCTTGAGGCACTCTTATACTTACTTTTTTATTTAACCCTCATGCCAGCTCTATGAGGTATTATTCCTATCTCACCAATAAGTAGAAATAGGGCTTAGTTTATATTCAGTGTCTGAACAGGTGGCATAGCCAGGTTACAAAGTGGCGTAAATTCTCAGTTTCACTTGGTTCTTACGCAGTGCTCTTGTTGGTGATGAAAGTCAGGCTTTGTAAAGGATTGTCTGTAATTGCAGTTTTAAGAATAAGACCATTTCTATTCAGGATTTTTTTTTTTCAGTGTGGATAGCAAAGGTGTGCAGAGCTGATTACGTAGGCTTATGTGCCCCATGAAATGGAATAGCAGGCAGTTATTCCCCTGCTTACATTCCAGAAGTTCATTTGAAAATCAATTTCTTGAACCTCAGAACCTTATTTTCTCATTGAAACTGTATTATGTGTGATTTCCAGGCCAACCACAAAAGACTTATTTTAATACATAATGTGCATTGCATAGTCATACTGTTTCAGATAGAGTTAAACAATATTCATTTTGGTTTTGTGGGAAATTTTCCTGTTGAGATGTTATAAATTCATTCTCCCTATCTGTGGAGTTGGGTAGAGGAAAGTGAATGTCCCATTTACCTAAAGGGAGTCATATCTTTGTAGCAATAAATTAACAGCTCGTATCTCCATTCCTTCTCAGTTCTTTGCCTGAGGACACTCCTTTAGCAGCATGTAGTATAACATATGAAAGCCTCTCTGCTCTGATTTAGGGAACAAAGGATAACTGTTATCCCAAGCTCCTGAATCTGACCTCTCCTGCTAATATGTAATAGACAAGTCATTCTTGGGCTCCCATTTGGAACATTCAGTGCTATCTTCTCATTTTTTTAAATATAAATGATCAAAGAATTTTTCTTTCTTTTTACATTTTCATTATTCTGTAGATCTAGATTTTATATTGAAAAATTATGAATTAGGATATTTATTTCAATAATCTTGGCCCTTCACCACAGAACATATAGAAAGAACATTATGAATGATGGTTTTTCTTAAACCCAAGTATAAGGTGGAGACTCTGTAATTGACTCCATGGTAAGAGTTAATTAAAGGCAAGGTTTTGTACAAATAGTATATATTTCTATGAATAGTTTGCATTTTTCTAGAGAGGGGTCCCTAGCTTTTATCAGATTTACAAAGGGACCTCAACCTCAAAAAGATTAAGAACCATTCAGGTAAGGATTATTATTATCTGTGAAGTGTTGAAGCATCCTGTCATTGCAGAACTTTATCTCTAAGAATCTGTCAGCATTGGTTCCTGAAAATGCAAGTCCCAGCTTTCTGTTTCCCAAATCATCTGAAAAAATCAGACATCCTATTAGGTAGAACCAAATATAGGTGATCTTATGGTGTTTGGCCCAAGCCAATTAGGGAATAATTTAGAAGTTTCAAGAAGAATGGTAACTTACTTGAAAGAAGCCTGGAAACATCATTATTTTTAGCATACCGTATCTAATAAGCTTTGTGATTTTATTTAAAATGTGTTGGTTAAAGGACTCCTAAAGAAGGGAAATCTTAAGGCTAACAATTAACTAAACTCTCCCATGGCCTTCCTCATCCTCACCTCTGGAAAGATAAGATACCTTACTTAGCTGTTAACTGTTACCCTTACTCCTGCTGCTGGTGATAAATGGGAGATCCGGACCAGCTGTTCTTCAACTCTGTGGAAAAAGAGAGCAATAGGAGAAAAAAATGGGCTTGATCATCAGCCTGAAAGATAATTGTATAATAGCTTCCAAGTACCAAGCTCATACGTGTGTGTCGGGTACTGTACAAAATGCTTTCCATGAATCATCATGTTTAATCATCACAATAATAATCCAGTTGTTAATTCATTTTGCAGATAGTAAGACTGAGCTGCAAGCCTTACACCCAGTCAGTGATAGTTGCCTAATTCCATAGCGCACTACAGTAAAGGTCAGAAGTCTGAACTTTCTGGTGGTGGGAACTTATGGAGAGTAAGTTGCTAGAGAACTTCATAGAAGTTTTTTCTTTGAAGGCCAGACAGTAAGAGCTGGATCTAAATTCAACTTGTCTCTTTAAGAGAGAAAAGTCGGATAAGACGACCTCATGGAATTCACGTTACCATAGTTTTTTCTGCCCTTGGAAGGAGACTCTGCTTTCACAGGGCAAGTGTCCTAAGGAGTTTCAGAGTAGAAAACCTGGTTGTTAAAACCAGGACAAAAGAAAAGTGTGGCATCAGGGAGGCAAGGTTTCTTGTGGTTATCAACTTATTTTTAAATGCCTTTCTAGAAAAGCAATCCATCCTTGTATGGGTGGAGCAGAAGAGGGACACGTTGTGCTTCCCCCTGGAAGAATGATGTGGAACGGCTCATCTTAGCCATGCTGCCGGGGCCGGTGCAGCCTTGAGGAATCTGCTGAACAGCTGCTGGTTGTGCAAGCCGCTGGCCTGAGAGCTGGCGCGTGTTTTGTACACCAAAGCCTCACTCATTCCAGCACAGCAGAAACATGTAAAGAAAACTGGCACTTTCTCTTAACGTGTCCGTTGCTTCTCCCTCTTTCTCTTCTTCGCTCCAAGTCTTGTCCGGAGTATTTCAGGAAAAGGCTGCTGACTTTGTGTGCTTGAACAGCCCTGAGGCAGCTGGGACAGGGCCACCAAGGGCCTGCACACAACATGATCATGTATTGTCTCTTAATTGCGCATTCTGTCTTTTTCCTCATACCTACCCACGGTGCCACCCGGCATTGTTTGGACTCGGGGATCCTGAGGATTAACATTATTGACCTATGTTGTTGAATTTGTCTTTTGTATTTTAATCCTTCCTTATGGCACAAGAAGACAGGAGATTATTTCAACACCACTACCACCACCACCAACCCCCCCGCCCACCCAAAAAGCATATTTTGCTGGTAGGACGTTACCATGGGAGTAGTTTCCTCAAGTTGATGGAATTGATTGATATTTTTCTGCTTCAAGTGAAAATCATCGTGTTGAATAAATGGAGCCCATTTCTCCTTCAAAGAGAATTTGTTCCTTTCCCAACTTGGGTCTTTCTGGGGTGTCTAAGTCCTTCCTTCTCTGAATTTGATTTGCCCGCATTGAAAATGGTGTACTGCGCATGTCGTTTTTCTCTCCCCAGAATGCTTAGTTTACACTCTTCATTGTATCTTCAGTCAGACTCTCCCATCTTCATCAACTCTCATGGCTGGTCCTTGGGGCATAAATCCTCTCTTACCCTGTGTCACTGATTTCCTTGACTGCTTTCACTTTCTCCTGCTTGTTGCTGTGATTTCTGAACTGCATGTGTCTGATTTGCCTTTTCCATGCCTCTGCCATGGCTGTAGGATTTCTTTGTGAACAGTAACTCCAAGCAGGTAAGTAAGCAACTACCCAAACTTTGCTTACTATAACTTCTTGGCTCAACATAAGCTCAAAATGTCTTGGTTATCCAATTTTTTTTTTTCCCAGATAGTGTAACTCAGGGCTTATGTAATTCTGTGTTGGGTTTCAACTCTTAACTGATATGTAGAGATCTGCCTGAAAATCTCAGCATGACAGAAGACAGTTGACGTTTGATCACATGGTGCCTCTTACTATAAATTTCATATTGTCTTTGTTTTCCTAAACTGTTACACAGTTCCAGAGCTCATTGGTTTTCTTACATTTTAAAAATGCCGTGATCCATTTTTAAAATTGATTCTGACCGCTAATAAAATTAAAACTTGCTATTAAGTTAGTGTGGATTTTCACCTTGATGCCCAGTTTACATAAATAGTATTTTATATATAATTGTTTTTTGCCTCTTCCACCATAAATTAGGACGGGCCATCATTGCTTACAGCTTTTTGTACAGCAGCGGAGTACGCAAAGTAGTGTTTTGTTGTTAATTCAAGTAATTGCACTCATGCCTTGAACTGCCCCCTGTCTGTTATCCGTCAGACTCCAGGGTGATGAAAGGTACCATCTGGGCTTGGGAGCTTCCTGTTGCACATGAGGACGTTTGGCAGGATTTATTGTTCAGCTTTTTGAGTGCTCAGGATGCAAATGGTTCTGGAGTGAATGGGCCCTGCAAACGGCCAGGACTGGCAATGGCAAGCCTCAGCCGAGCTTGATTCATAGTGACAGTTCTTCTGTCTGCTATCCATAGGGATTTGGGGGACAAAAGGAGGGCACCGCTCACTGATAATTTATGCACGCTTAGCATCTTCAACTTAGAGATGCACTTTGTTCTTCCAAAAATGCTTTTTCAAATGTGGGTGGTCAACTTTTCTTACTACTTCCCTTTGTCAACTCGATTTTAGCCCTTCGTTTCAGTTCCACCACCTCCCTGTACTCCCTCCCTCAACATCTCAGCTTCGCCTGTGTGTGTGCGTGCGCGCGTGTGTGTGTATGTGTGTGTGTAAACAGAAAATATAAAGGAAAATGTGTGTCTGAAGTCAGAATGTCCCTGTTTGACTTTGATGGATTTCTTTCATGCTCTTTATAGAAAGAAGCAGATGCCATTGATGACACACTGAGTTCCAAACTTAAAGTCAAAGAGCTTTCAGTGATTGATGGTCGGAGAGCTCAGAATTGCAACATCCTTCTCTCGAGGTATTGTTGATATTGAATAAACATTTCTGGTAGGACCAACTTTCCTCTCCCGTGGCTCCCATCCACATGTTTGTACTTGTTCTTTTAATCGGACTCTGCTGAGATTCAGTTCTTTGGATTCTCTTCTGTCTAAGGAGAGGAGAACTCATGGCCCCTACTTCCCTGTGTGGAATATATCAGAGCTGGATGCTTCTTCCTTTCTTAGAGTTTAATTTCCACAGACTCCTGAAGTTAAAGAGTGGAACATCCCAAATCAATGCTTTGTTTTGTTTATTTTTCCAGAGATCCTGTAAAGTGGACTTTACCTTTATTTATATTTCCTGGCTTTAGAGATATTTTAGCTGTTGAGTAACACTGTCCCAGAATCAGCGGCAACGGTGAAAGCTCTTTGTTTCATTTTGCTTTTCTAAATCACCTTTTTATACTTCAAGTTTATGATATTCATGTTCTTTCTGAACATTTTTATGACTAAAGAGATGTAAATCTCAAGCCCGAGTGAAATGCTAATTTATCCATTCCAGCCGTGTTGAGAATCTTTCTCATAATTAGTGAACCATCACGGCCTGGGAACTTGAGAAGAAGAAAGGAAACTTGGGAGGCTGGAATCTGCCCATAGCTTCAGGCACTATGTCTGGTTGTCCTGGGCATTTCAAGTAGCTTTTCTGTATCTAATTTCGTCTTTTCTCCAGAAGGAACTTTTCTGTCAGGCAAAGATACCTAACGTTTAAGAGGTAAATGAATATCTTAAATTTGGGGGCATTAAATATAAGCCCCCCTGGTCACATTCTGAAAGAATGTTATATAGGTATTAAAGCTGGTTTAAGGTGGCTTCATTTTCAGAGAGAGTAAAGAGGGAAAGTGGCAGCCTTTATTTTTTATTTATTCAGAAAGTGCAAGCAGGGGGAGGGGCAGAGGCAGAGGAAAAGAATCTCAAGCAGACTCTGCGCTGAGTGCTAAGCCCAATGTGGGGCTCGATCTCATGACCCTGAGATCATGACCCTGAGATCATGACCTGAGCTGCAATCAAGAGTCAGGCATTTCACCGGCTGAGCCACCCAGGCGCCCCGGCGGTCTTTATTTTTAGATGGTCTTACAGTGAATTTCTTTTAACATAAAACACTGCTGCTTGGTTTACAGAATGGAGCTTGATTATTAGCCAGATATATATTACTTTAGGGAGCAAATGTTTCTTTTCGTAGAAGAGAAACTGAAGCTTAATGAGATCCCTGAATTTTAATACAACCAGGAAGGTAACGTGAACCATCCTCTTAGCGTTTCATTTCTGCCTCTGGCTGGAAGCTATGTAAATGGCCAGGCCCTGTACTTAGCCCCATTTTTTTCTCCCTGAACACATGCTCAGGAAGATACCAAGGAAATAAACTGAAAGTCTACTTACTTTTCTTCTATAGTATATACAATTCGCTTTGCTGTCATTTCCTTTTACAAGTCACATTCTTAGTAGTGACATTAAATGAAAATTGGGGGGAAGTTTTTTTTCCCCTAAAGCCTAGAATTTCTGCCTCTTTTTGTGCTTTTGCAGTCTTGAGGGACACTTTTAAACAGCTTGACAAAGGGAGCTATCACTCTGAATTTCTATAGTACTTAAGTGCTCATCACAGTAAAATCTGTGACCTAGTTCCTCATAGACAGATTATTCTCAGCACGAGATGTCAGTGAGGATAATAACACTGACACCAGTTACAGAGAAGGTTACAGCTCTTTCTGGCAAATTTCCCATCTCATTATTGAAGGAATTATTTCTTATTTGTGCTGTGCAGTTTCCTTGTTACCTCAGAAGTGTCAGAGCCTAAGGTGACTTAGAACTTGAGTGTATAGTGTATCTAAACTCTCTCTGGAAGATAATTTTTGAGAAATTGCCTTGTATCTGTAAAAGTAGCTATTAAAATCCAATTTAACGAATGAGTGTTATTACAATGAGCATAATTAAAAAGCAGATTGTACATAACAAGGTAATTTTGAGTCCCAGCTGACCTTACAGTAATTAGACCTTATGGATCAGGTTCTAAAACCTCTTTCCCACGAGGATTCAGCCCTACATGCTTTTCTGCTCCATGATCAATAGTTTTACTCCTGTCAGGAAAGCACAGGACTGACCTGTAGTGTGCTGTGTGGTAAAAGTAACAGAAATGAAGCAGATTTAGTTTTAATTTGGGTTGTGTTTAGTTGTTTAGCTGGTCAGCAGTTCACCTTACTTTCATCCCCTACGCCCCCCTCATTGGCAGTGTGTTACCACACACGAAAGGAGCTAGGGGCTAGAAGGAAGGAAGAAACCTATGAAAGTGTGTGTGATGCTTTTTTCTTAGAGTTATCACTTTGACGCATTTGTTTGCCTGGCGCTATGCAGGGTGCCACAGAACAGACCGTGACTTTGAAAGCTCATGGCTCACTGGAGAAGGGAAATGACACCAGCAAGGTAGCTTGTGAACAGCTCAGGCCTAGGCTGATGGGACCAGAAGGAGCTAGATGCTCAGCCAAGTGGGAAGGACACTGATGGGGCTCACCAGAGGGAGGGGACCTCACAGAGCGATAACAGTTACACTGCGGGGGTACGGGGGGCAGTTCTGAAGAGGCACTCCGCGGAAGCCAAGGCACCCGAGGGGTCGGCGCATAGCTAAGAAGGAGAGCCCCGCATGGTGGTATCATCTGTCATAAGGAATGAGACTGGGCAAGAGAGCCCGGGATCTATGCCTGGTGCCTTCGTGAGGGCGTCACTCAGCCAGGGGCAAGCCATACCCTCCTCATCTATAAAATGGAGATGAGGAGGGGACTTGTAGTGGGCTCTCTCAGTGTGGGAGTGTTAGACCCAGTGCCTGTGAAGCAGCTGCAGGGACCCCTCCCCTCCAACCCTTCGGTCATTGCCCAGTCCACGGCCTGTGTTCGTGCCCACGGGACCGGGAATCAGTGCAAGTTGTTTATTTTAACAAGGTCTGAAGTCTGCTCTCTGGGGTTTGCAGGAGAGGTTGGAAGGGGTCGAGAGCTGGCTGCGAGAGCAGCCTTTAGATAGCAGGCTCTTCCTTAGGTCCAGGTGAGACCTGATGAGGGACAGAACTGAGAGAGCCTTAACCCTCGGTAGTACCTGGACACCAGTGTCGTGTTTGGGGACAATGAATAGGAGTGTCTCCAAGTGGTGTCAAGATTTCCTTCTTTTCCACACTTACCGTCTTTCTTCTTTTCTACTTTTTTCATTCCCTGAGCCTGGAGACCCTCTCTGTTTCCTACCTTGCTGACGAGGAATTTAATTCCCAGCAATGTAGTGCTTTCCCCAGAAGCTACCACACTATAAATAAGCCTGTGCTGTATTCCGTGGGGCATATTTCAATGAGCACATACGTCTTCAGTGTTCGGTTATCCTTAAAAGTTCATCCTTACCTCCACACTGAAGAAGTTAGTGGACCCTTTGGTCAGGGCACCTGCCACAGTCCTGCCTGGAGTGGAGAAAGGAGTCAGAAGGAAGCCCTTCCTGCCCCACAAGCCAAGCAGGGGAGGGATGCGCAGGCCCTGTACGTGGGACTCGCTGCCTTCGTGGCCAGGACTACCTGCAGCTCCTGGAAAGAGACTGGAAGGTGACTTTGAAACAGAAGTTCCAGGCCATGAGGGTCCCCGCTTGCCACAGACTTGCGAGTGCAATGAACGTGATGTTCCTCAAACTAAGAACCCCCTCCTCAGGCCGCAGGCAGAGGGAGCACCAACTTACCGGGTTTATCCAGGTGACATGTGGCAATAAAATTCACTCTGCTTTATTCCCTAAAACTGACCTCTCCCTCCCTCCCCCAAAAAAAGAAAGAAACTTGGAAGCTGGTTTATATTGCAAAATGAACCCACCTTAAATACACTTTTATGAAGTGTTCTGCCATCCTTTTTTTTTTCCAGATGCTCACTTAAAATGGCAGCCGGGGTGCAGTAAACCACAAAAAGCTACTTTAAAGTGGGGGGATTTGGCTTAAATCCACTGAAGCAGAGCTAAGGCTGACCTAGCCATCCATCCCTAACTCATGTTCATTATGCCTGGATGTTCCAGTTCTCTTGGCAAATTTTTGAAATACTTGAGGGGCGCAAGGTAGACTTAACTACTGTTTTTAAATGGCCGGTTTGTTTCCTGCCTTGTAAAGAAAGTTGAGGTGGATGTCTCAGAAGTTGCCACCCTCCAGCACACCAGAACACTGGCAAGCTTTAAAAGCAATTAAAACGTTAGAATTGGTAGGGTCCTTAAATTACAGAGATTAGCAGCAACTCACTCTGTGGATGTCAGATGATACGGACAACCCGGCAACCTGCAGCCTACAGACGGGTCCCAGAGGGCGGAGTCCCCTTCTCCTCTTTCCCCAAGGGCGCAGTCTCTTTGTCTGCTCCAGCAGGCCACGTGTGAGGCAGTATGTTGACAGGTAGATTTTCTTAAGTACCATCCATTAAAGTCTCAAGTCTCTTTGTGAGACACATAAAGAGAAACCAAAATTGTTATGAATTAGAGCTAGTGTTTAGTCCAGACAGCCTCTGGGGGTTGAGAAGCATAAATATATACAATTTCAAAAGCAAGAAGTTCTGCAGTCCATATGGGGAGCTAATGAATGCAAATCTGATACTTCAAGTATTGTTCTCACTCCGATTTTCAACTCCCTTTCTTTTAAATGCAAAACAGAAGGGCTCAGCGGAACCACACCATAAAGTAGTTTCTTCAGCTCAGTGTGAAAAGGACACAGAACTAATTTACTTTTTTCTTCTAAGTGGGGCTTTTCTCAGGATGGCTATAGACGGTTCCACAGCCAGTTGGTTTTTATTAGTGGCAGTTTCAGCCTTCCTTAATGTTCCTCTTCCCTGGCCGTGCTTGGCTGAACTGTGGTGTTTGCTCCTAACGGATTCAAAGCCTTTAGTGTCCTAGAATTGAGGGCTACCCAGAGCCTGCACGGTGAAGCCAGGATAGTTTTTATCCTATCATATGTTTTACCCACACCAGCTCAGCTAAATGGTTCCAGTGAAGTTTGGGGGTTTTCCATCGTGATGTTCTGGTGAAAATGTTTGTGGGGTGATGATTGTCCCAAGAAAGAGTAAAACAACCTGAAGAGGTCCTAGCAGGTCCAGGGAATTATGATGGCGCCATACCTGAGACGAGGTGATAGAATGGGTCTCCTTTTAGAACACAGGCAGTTTCAGGGCGCCTGGGAGACTCAAGTCAGTTAAGTGTCCAAGTCTTGATCTCAGGGTCTTAAGTTCTAGCCCCGTATCAATCAGCACACACACTCTTTTTCTCCCTCTCTTTAAAAAAAAAAAAAAAAAAAGCAGTTTCACATATTGCCTAGATGCTATATATTTGGATTTGACAACAGGAGGTAAAAGAGGATGCTACTAGTACAAGAAGATGCATGGATTTGTTCCTTCCCTTTCCTACTTACTGGCACATGAAACAACATTCAGTGTACATAGCAAGATGGCTGGTTTTCACAAGATTATGTCAAAGTCTAGCGAAAAGGACAAGCCAGAGCTGTCCAGAGTGGGGTGTGTGTGGACCAGCTCTACCCCAGGGTCCTTTCCTCCTTCTGTGACCTTTGTGTCCACCCCTGCACTCAGGCTGCCCTCTCGTTTATCTGTGAGAGCACGAGTATTGCAGCTTATCGTTTGATGCACCCAAACACTATAACCACCTTTAAAATAAGAACGCTATCTTGGAATTCTTGTTTAATACTCCTGGGCCTAATGGATGTTGTGTACAGAGAGGAAACTGATAGAAATAATGGGTTGTGAGAGTGCTTTGGGTAGTGTTCATGATAACTCTACTAAGCGCGGTGTAATGATCACGTAACTGCATGTGAATGCTTAGGTTAGGAAAGTACTGCTGCTTCTTGTCCCCTTTGGAGAAAAGTCCGTTGGAGTGTAATACCTATAGTTAGTTTAGTGAGCCTTATCCATGGCCAGGCAGAGAGATCAGTGCTTTATGTGCATTATTTGATGCAGTTTGATGAGAAAACTAAGGCTTAAAAAACACATCATCCAAGGTCACATTGGCCCAGCACTGTCTGCCAGGACTGGGGCTCAGCCTGATGCCAAAGCCCCTGCCTTCAGATGCTCCCTGTGAAGGCTATATATCTTGCCCTGTATTTGTGTGTTTATGTCTTTATCTCTAGGCCTAATGTGATTTTTCTTGAAGATCATAGACTAGAACAGACCAAATAATGTTAATATGTCACTTTAGTGGTAGATTAATAAGTAAGATTTTTTTTTTCTTTAAGTAAGTCTGGAGCTGATGCTTACAGTAGAACAAGAGAATGACTCTGTTGTACTAGCTAATCATCTGCTGAAGACCTTTCTCCCTAGTGAAGACTATTGGTTGTATCTGATAGAAACACATTTTTGCAAGTGCATTTTCATTTCATGACTCTTTTTTATAGTCCACACTTTTTAGTGCTGACATAATCAAGATGTAAATCCTTAACTTAATTAGTAAATCATATACGTTTATGATAAACAGAAACAAATTTCTGGTTTTACTTAAATTCTTCCCTAAAAGATATTAACTAGGGGCGCCTGGGTGGCTCAGTGGGTTGAGCCGCTGCCTTCGGCTCGGGTCATGATCTCAGGGTCCTGGGATCGAGCCCCGCGTCGGGCTCTCTGCTCGGCGGGGAGCCTGCTTCCTCCTCTCTCTCTGCCTGTCTCTCTGCCTGCTTGTGATCTCTCTCTGTAAAAATAAATAAATAAAATCTTTAAAAAAAAAATAAAAAAAATATAAAAGATATTAACTAGATAAGCAGATTCGTAAAAGGAATTTAGGGTTAGGAATCAAGAGTTTTCTGTTTGTGATAGATACTGCCACTTTCCGTATGTTTGACCTTGGGCAATTCACTTAGACATTCTGCACCTCATTTTCTCCCTCCATTTAAAAAAAAAAAAAAATAACCATCACAGTTATTTTAAACCTCCAACAAAATAATATATGTGAAAACTCCTCCACCATGAAGTGCCATTTGCATTTTACTCTGAGTATTAACTATTCAACTTTTTAATAATAACAGATTTCAACCCTTTTAAAATCGATTTTTAATCTGAAAACAAACTTTAAACAATCCTGATGAGTTATCAAGTTCAGAATTTAGTTTTTTGGGGTGCTAGGTGGCTCAGTCAGTTAAGTATCTGACTCTCAATTTTGGCTCAGGTCATGATCCCAAGGTTGTGAGGTCGGACTTTGTGCTGGGTGTGGAGCCTGCGGGAAGTTCTCTCTCCTTCTCCCCCTATGCCTCTGCTTGCCTGCACACTATCTCACTCTAAAATAAAATAAATAAATCTTAAAAATCTTAAAAAAAAAAAAAAAGGAATTTAGTTTTCCTTTCTCATCTACAATCATGGCTACTATATGTAAAGCAAACAGTGGGTATAGATGTCTTACCTTTTCCTCATCCTCCAACCCCTCACTTAAGGAAACTAAACAATAGAACAATAGAAACTAAACAATAAAACAGATATGTTCTCTGTGTCAGCAGAGCATTACAAAGTCCTAAAAGAATGTTATAACGGTTTCAAAATACTATTTTTAGGTGCAATATTTTCAGGAAATAAGCTTTCACTAAGATTTTGAGAAAAACAGTTCTTGAAAATCAGCAGCTGGAGTAGCAGAATGAATTATCTTGCATTAAGTTTTAATACTCAAGCCAATATTGTTAACAACAAAATAAAATATTCTTTGTCCAGGTTGAAATTGTCCAATGATGAAATCAAACGGGCAATTCTAACAATGGACGAGCAGGAAGATCTGCCCAAGGACATGTTGGAACAGGTGAGCTGCCAGACAGACATATCTCAGAGCACAAGTGATGAATGGCTTCCAGCAGGGAGTGGGATATTGAGAAAATCTGGTTGTTGCTGGTGGATAATTTCCTCATCTCTGAACCAACGTTGAATGTGGCTCTCTTAAGAGACTTTATTCTCTCATTGCTCCTCAAAATGTTGGGTGAAAAAGAAGGTCACAAGTTTGTCAGATGCCTGGGACCCACAAGGCCAGATTCTGTTCCTCATGCTGCAGTTAATACGCCTTCATAAGTCATACAAATCTTTCACCTCTAGGGAAGTCTGTTGGACAGGCTTATGGAGAATCTCACCAGCACCGTGAGATAACAGGCTACTACATAAACTGATTCATTACTGAATCCTTAATAAAGTTTGTGTCTTGGCCTTGACGCACCATTCCTACACCCCGGTAGTTACTGTTAAACCCCTTAGCTCTGTCATCTGCATCGAAGTAATTCATATTAACCGTGGCCAGCCAAGCTGGATGGAGTGACTTAGCCTCTCTTTGTGCAGTATTCCTTTAACACGTTCTGTGGAGCCATTCCAGCTCTGTTATGTGTGTCTCAGCAGCTTTGTGCAGTTGCCCCCCAAATGACAATGTTCTTGAACTAGAAGATGTTTCAGGGATTATTACCTCTCAATCTGGCCCTGAATATTTCTGTGCTTCGTGGAGATCGTCTCCATGCTCTGAGACTATTCTGTCTGCTTGTCTCATTGTCCTTGGTACGAAATCCTATTTTGCGTGACTTTGATCTAGAAGTCCATGTTAGTGCCAGGTCCACTGAAGGTTAACTGTGGATAATCGTGGTGCTGGGCTGAACTTGAGGTCTTGGTTGTGGGAATGCTCAGCTCCCAGAAGCAGAGTAAAGGCTGTTTTGCACTGTTAACAGTGATCTTGGAGGGCGTGGCTGCTCCAGGGGGGGCGTCTGTGTGCTTATGCGTTTTCCACAGTGTTCTGGCTGATGACGGAAAAGGCCTCCAACACAGAGCAGGGAAGAGTGAAGTGTGAGGTGTCACCACACCACAGTGCACTTGCTCCACCTGAAACCTGCAGCTGCAATCATCCTGGGGAAGCCCTCACACTTAGCAATAGAATAAGTTGTCAGACTGTGCTTTTTGATGTTTGACTTAGTTACCAGTAGCCCATGACCGTGCATCCAAGCCTGTCAGGAACCTTTGTGTACAAATAGTTTAAACATGATTCCTAAACTGAAAATTAATTGTTTAGAGCATCTTACAGATTCTCTGCACACTCTTCCCTCTCAGTCTGCAACCAGTCCTAACAAGGGTCTCTGCCCAGAAGTGCGGCCCAGCTTTCCTCTGCCCTCCTCTGGCCCCCAGCTGACCCTGCACTTGGGTTGCCTGCATGAGAAGCTGCTCACACAGAGGGAGGAGCCATGCAGAAAGCTGCTTCGGTCCTTAGGCCTTCAGCCCCTATTGACAAAGTCGTATGTTTGAAATTCCACAAGATCTGTTTACTGTGAAATTGCATGCAGCAAAATTCCTCCTTGAGGGAAGGGATTTCAAGACCTTGCCAAAAGGGCTTCTCGTGCAAATAGAATGTACTTCAAATAAATACAAGTAAGAAAATCAATCTACTGAAGCAGAATCTGGACAAATGGGATACTTTTGACCTGGTCTACCCTGATAATTCTGTGGGTCTTACTCTCTGGTCACCTACCATACTCTTTCTTTTCCTCCTTATTCTCTTCTTCCTCTGCTTCCTCTTCTTTCACACAGCACTTCTCCCAGACAAACTTTTAACTAGTATCTCTTTACTCCTAGTTATGATTTGCATTTGAATCAGATTCCTTCTCTCCTCTCCTGCTTTTAGCTGCTGAGCTCAGAACTCAGAGGAGATTGATACCCTCCTCTTTCTTGGAACGTACAGTTTTCTCCTCATTCCCAGGTATTTGTCTAAGTCTTCATTCCTCTCCTAAAACCATCCATACACAGTCTGTCACTTGACTCTGCTTTGGGAAGGACTGAACCTTAGCATGTGCCTCTCACAGCATTCTGTACAAAAGAGCTAGTGTTGTCCTGAACAGGGGCCTGTGGCTTAGTGCACACAAACCAGTGTGTGTGTCATGGGGGGAGAAGGAATCCCTAAGACTTGAAATGAAGTTCCTTGCCCAGTAGTTAAAAATCCAAACTAAGAGGAAAAAACAAGTCTTTTTCTCTCTCTTGCTTCTCCCTTCTCCATACCTTATTACCTTCCTCCCTGAACTGAGGAACAGCAAGAAGATACTGGTCCTGTCCACGAGTACCATTTGAACACAGAAACATAAATGCCTAGAACCGGTCAGGCTACCAGACCAGTGAACCCACTGGCATCCACATCCATGACATCCCATCAGGAAAGAGGGGTGGCTCTGGCCTCTGCTCTAGCCCAGCCCTTCCTTCTGCTCAGGAACCCAGCTGGATCAGAGCATCCTGCCCACCCCCCATCATACACCTTTTCCTCTTCACTCTTAACTTGTTCAAGACTCAGCCTTTCACAAAACACCTTTTCATACTACACATGCCCATCTAGCTACTGTCCTCTCTCTCTTTTGATACAAGCAGAGTTCTTGAAAGCTTGTCCACACTTACCTCCTGTTCACTCTTCCTCACCTCCCTAAAGCTGTTCTCACTAAGGACTCACCACCTCCCTGTTGCCAAAGCTAGGGGGCACTTTGCAGTCCTTATCTTCCTTGATTTGCTGCTGGTATGTGACACCGATGGCCACTTGCTCCATGGTGAAATGTGTTTCTTTGGCATTTCATTGTCTCCTCTAAAGGTTATTCCTCTTGTCCTCATTCCTCAGACACTGGCTTCTCTCCAGCCCTGCTTTGTTTCCCTTGATGGTTCCCCTGGTTACCTCACTCATATCCTTGCATGTTATAGTCAGTATCAATGCTCTGTCTTCCAAACAGCTCTGTATAGCATGTCAGACCCATTTGTCCACCTACCAACTAGGAATCTCTACTTGGTTCTCTTGCCAGTATTTCAAACACTAAACACTCTCTCCCCACCCACTCTCCTCCATTTCTTCCTGGTTTTCTTCCTATTACACTCTGTATACATTGTATACAATGTATACATTGTTGCCTAAGCTAGAAGCCTGGACGCATCCTTTTGACCCTCTACCACAACCCATCATCCATCAACAAGTCAGGCCAGTTCTATTCAACCCCCTAAATAGCTCTAGAATCTACCTAGGACCCAATCCAGGTCACCATCCTCTCTCACCCGGATTACTGTACCAACAGTCTAATCATAACCCCCTAATACTTTTGATCCTTTCTAATTCTTTCTCCATTCTGTGAGCGTAGTGGTCTTTTAAAAATGTAAATTCATCCCCCTACTGAATATTTTAAGTCCTATCCCAGAGCCCGCAAAATAAAGACTGAAATTCTTTCAAGGTCCTTGCTACTCCCTGACCTTGACCACTGCTGCCCTCCCCCACTGCCATTACAGCTGTTCTACTGGCATAAATGCTGTGCCACCCTTTCCAGACCCTGGCACGTGATGTGCACTCTGCCTGGAATATATTTCCATTCACCTGTAGTTCTAATTCTCTTTCCCTGCCGGCAGCACAGACTGCCTTTTCCGAGGTCCCATCATTAAATCCAACAAACTTTGGAAACCTACTAAATGAATCATCCGAATGCCAGCTTCAAATTATAGGGAGGATCTTGGGGTCCAGAGGGTCAGTATCATTAAAAAAATGTATATATATCCAAGGGCATCTGATCCAGAAAATAGCACATTTGAACAGGGCTGCGGGTATATATATACATATTTGTGATTTGAAATAAGACACAGAGTACTTTTTCAACTTTAAATATTGCTGTTTCTCCCACATTCCACGCTCATTTCTACCGCCATAATAAAAAATAGAATCAAAAACCAAATCCTACCATGTTCTTCTCATCCATCATGACATGGAGCAAAAAATGAGATGGAAATACATAAGCCAGAGAAATAAGTTGAATGGAAAATACACATAGAATTACTCATCCCAGCATGATGTAACAGAAAAAAGCATTGAGCTGGGAGTCAAGAGACCTCCTAAGTTCTATTTCTGATGATTACATGAACTTTCTCTGTAATTCTGGGTAAGTGGCCTTGTCTCCCTGGACCTCCGTTGCATCACCTTCTAATGAGAGTGTTGAATCTCCCAAGTCCCTCTAAGGGTCTATGCAAAATGGATCCTGGTAAAGAGCTCCCACAATCTGATTTGAGAGACAATATAGAGTAGAAAGTTGCCAGGAATGAATCTTACATCAATTTAACTACTTGTAAGTAAAAAAGAAAAGATTTTTCCTCCAGTTTCATTGAAATATTATTGACCTACAAATTGACCTATAAATTTAAAGCATACAGCATAGTAGTTTGACCTACAAATGTGAAATGATAAGGCAATAAGTTTCATTAGCAGCATCCATCTCGTCCTGTAGATACAATAAAAAAGGAAAAGAAATTCTTCCTCGTGATGACAATTCTTAGAATTGACCTCCTTAACAACTGTCCTGTACATTATACAGCAGCGTTAACTCTAGTCCTTGCACTGTGTGTTACCTCCCTAGAACTTACGTTGTAACTAGAAGTTGGTACCTTTGACCACCTAACTGCAAAGATTTAGTCATTTGTATTGTATCTTAACGATGACCTGTAGCAGAGTTTATAAATGAAACAAAAGATACAGTCTCATTTGGGGGCAGATTAACTGAAAGAGTGAAATTTTACTGCAAGAATTTAGTTATAAACCTCAGTTTTAATATTTGCATGTGCTTCTTAGCTCTTGAAATTTGTTCCTGAAAAAAGTGACATTGACCTGTTGGAGGAACATAAGCATGAACTGGATCGGATGGCCAAGGCTGATAGATTCCTTTTCGAAATGAGCCGGTGAGTTTGAAAATGCCTAAGACATGAACATGCCTTTTACCTCTCTCAGGAAGATAAACTTTTGATTCTGGTTGAATTAATTGGGCCAGTAACCTGGCTTCACTTAAAGCCTTTTTAAATTACAAAATCTTAAGTCAGAACTATGTGGAATTTGTTTTGTTTATGGGAGTTCTTGCCTATGGGTGAGCCAGGGCTAGCATTTCTTCATAATTACCTCTGGTTCTGGACCTAAACAAGTCATAACTTTTCCTGGTTCCAGTCAGTGTCTCCCCCCACCCCCCACCCCCGCACTTTGACTGCAATGGGATTATATCTCCCTTCTCTCTATAGCCCAGCATCTCAGAAAATGGGCAGACCCAGCAGTGGCGACCTGGAGCCCACATGAATGAACAACTAGGGTCTGGATGTCAAATCATGACACACGCAGACATCTCTAATCAGTCATGTCACACTTCCCACAGAGTCTTGGCAAGCATTCTCAACCCTTCTCCAGAAAACCCAGAGGCAGCCACTGCTTCATAATTTTGTTTGGCATGTGAGCTTGAGTCTGTTTGCCATCCCAGGCCTGAAAAAATTGATTCTGCATTAGAAAAGGACCAGTGGTGCTGAGACTCTCCTTCGACCCCAGGGCAGAGCTCTTCCCCTAAGTACCAAAGGCCTATGAGTGTAGCCAAGGTGAACATGGCTCTCACTCTACATTTCTGCCATATCTAGACTTATTTTTGTTGTTCCATCTCACCTTGCTGTTGGGAAGAATACCGCTATAGGACAAAGGATGGTTTTGGAATTTTGACTGGTGTGCCCAGCAAGCCTGTGTGTGCATAAATAGATGGTCACTCACATTGGCCGCCATTTTGTAATTGTCTAGACCTGTGCATGCATCACTCCCCTTGATCCTTCTATCAGCGCCACCAGGAGGACTGTTGGGTAGGGAGGTATTCTCTTCCATCTAATGGAGGAATTTAGTTACCTGTTGAAGGTCACCTACCAAGAGGAGAACCTAGGCTGCAAATGCAGGTCTGTTTGATTGGATGGGGCTACTGGACTGAAGTTTCCCACAGAGAGCAGCTAAGGCAGTGATTTGAGTTCAGAAGGCCTTGGCAAGAGTGCCTGCACTCCCCCTCTCAGCAGCAGCAACTTATCTTAGTGGTGACCAGAGGCCAGTTTGCATCCTCTTATCGCTGGTCACTAGTTGCTATCTTGAAAGGCAGAGCCTGCCAGCCCTGAGGAGAGCAGAAAGGGAGCTAGCTGTAAAGAAGGAATCATTTGGGGACATGAGTGGGAAGAGGATGATATGAGGAGAGGTTGATGGACAAGAGTTTTCTCTGTAGCTTTGCTGGAGGCAAACTTTGTGGAAAGTTAAGCATGGGAGAAACATAAGAAACAGCCCCTCACTTGCCCAGAACGGGGGGTAGGCTTTACATTTTCATTCCTTTTTATCTCCTCTGTTCACAAGAGTTCCTGGGTCTCTGAGGAAGGGGAGGGGACAACTTTCCTTTTCTTTCAGTAGTTGACTGATCTGTTTAGAGCTAAGGACCTTACGGCCATTGCCCGAATACTCCGGCGGTCAGAGGGAAGTGGGCTCTCCAGACAAAGTGGCCTCATTTCCTGTGCTCCTGTCCAGACGAGGAACAGGGAATTGTGTGTGCGTGTGTGTGTGTATGTGTGTGTGTATTGGGGGGTGTGTACTCTAAGGTACCTCCGCCTCCATATCCACTGAGTGAACATAGACGTCATAAGTAAATAAATGTTCATCAGTCCGTGCTTGCTCTTACAGAATTAACCATTATCAGCAAAGACTCCAATCGCTGTACTTCAAAAAGAAGTTTGCAGAGCGTGTGGCAGAAGTGAAACCTAAAGTAGAAGGTAAAGTCAGGCCTCCAGATTGAAAATGATGTTCATCATAAGTGCCTGTTTGCAAGTACAGTCCAAGTGCAGATAGTAAACAGGACCCCTTGGGTGATTTTTTTTTTTTTCCCTTAAAATCTTCTGGATTTGTGGTGGCTAATTACATAAGGTCCATACCTAGCCCTCTGACCTAGCCTGGCTTCTGGAGCTCACAGCACACCTCCTGGGCTCTTCTGGAGAAGTGGGCTTTTAACTTCCTGGGTGTTGGTAAGACACATATTTGACCACCACTAGCCAGGAGTCTGTAACTAGCTTTATCACAGTGGTGCTATACTGGTATTTCTAAGGGAACATTTCAGGCTGTTAAATTTTTAAGTGTTTGAAACATGGGCAGCTGCAGAGCACAGCCACAGAATGCGGGCTGGACTCAGGACCCTGCTCAAGCCCCAGTCCCTGGTCATGCCCGCAAGCTGCAACATGAAACACATTTGGCCAGGGGGGTTTTGGTCACTGGAATTGCTCAGTAATCCTGTTGATCTGAGTCGTACCAGGCAAGAAAGTGTTTGCATCGGAATGTGGGAAATGCAGTCCCTTTCTATGTATTCTTAACTACATACAGTTAGTGAATCAGCCAGGAAAAGGACTAGAAAAGCAGAGGATTGCGCAGCTACCATGGGTCTGTTGGACAACATCACTGGCTCTCCCCTCACTCTCTGCTGCTAGTTGAGGTGTTTTGTAAGTGCTCCCTGGTCGTCCGGCGACCCAGGCTTACCTCTTCAGTATCTGCTAGTCGGGTGTGTGGGTTAGGATGGGTGTCACTGAGGCGTCTCGCTGGTGGTAGTTGTGGTTACGTGTGCTTTATTTTGAAGCAATCCGTTCCAGCTCAGAAGAGTTGTTCAGGAGCAGCGCCTTGAAGCAGCTGCTAGAAGTGGTTTTGGCCTTTGGAAATTACATGAATAAAGGCCAAAGAGGCAATGCATACGGATTCAAGATATCCAGCCTAAACAAGATTGCTGACACAAAATCCAGTATTGACAAGTAAGTATGGATTCTTCCAACACTTGGAGGCCGCCGGAGCTGAAATCAGGACCCCTCCGGGCCTCCTGAGTCTCCCTAATGCTGCAGCCTCTGGTGTGCTTGACTCTCGCGCATGCTCCTTCCCTCTCCAGCATCGACTTCTCTCTTCTCTCCTAATTACAAATAACCCAGAATTCCCATTGGGCTTATTATCCTTCATCCATTTTCAGTCCCTAGGCAGATAGCATCTAGTCTAAGTTTTGGGATTTTTTGGATAAACTCTGTATTATAGTGTAATACACTAAAGACAAGGTCATCAGTCAGAAATGCACCGCCGGATGAGTTTTCACACACTGAACCTCTGTATGACTAGTGCCCAGATCCAGAAACAGACTGTGACCCGCATACTAATGGTCTCCTCATGACCTTTCCCAGGCATGACCCCCTCCACAGAGAACTGCGTTCCAGGGAAGAGAAAAAAACTGACAGCTGATGATAGAATGTGAAGTTTGTTGGGGTTTTAGGTATGCCTTCCATCCTTTATACATTGACGCTAGCAGCTATAAAAAATTATGAGGTATAAATGCAGTTTGGCTGTTGGTATTAAGCTGCTCCTTCCAAGACTCCTCTAAATGTTTCCTAGAGAGTGTTTTAGGTGAATGGATTCTTGTTAGAAACACCGAGGTGAAAAGTGCTCTGCTGTCATTAACAGGTAGGCTCATTAGGCATAAAACACTAGTTTCCCGGGGAGCTCTGTTCCGCCAAGGCTCTTCCTGACTTCAGAGCAATTTGCACAATTGTTTCTAAGGTGAACTTCCCTGCGTCCAAATTCTTCTTAGAAATATGGGCTGTTCGCCCTAATTATTCCCCACTAGTAAGGCTCTTTACTCTGTGTTTTCTGTGAGATTAGTGATGCAGAGCATTATGGCCACCCTGAATCGATCCTATAAGAAATAAGCAATATGTTAAGTTGCAGGGCTAAACCTTAATTTTGCATTATGTAGAGATAGATTAACAAAGGGCAGCTGTGCAATCACCACCTTATTTTTAATGTAAGCCCTTGATCCTTCCAGAGCACTTTTGTATTAATAGTGCGGAGTACACAGGCCAAAGGGCTGTAGCACCTGTTGTCAGATAAAGAAACTGAAGCAGTGTCAAGTGGCTCCTTTAGCTTGCCTAAGATCGCAAGCAAGGTATTTGCCTCACGGGTATTTGACACCTGTTCTCTTATCCTCAGCTCTACTCCGGCAACACAGGGACCTTATTTGGAAGGTGTGGTAGATAGCTGCAAAGTCTTACTTGCATATGAAGGGCAGTCACCTTTTTAAGGGTGTTCTCTTTAACTTGGCTTGCAACTTAAAGAGGAAGGAGACCTTCACTACCAGTTAGTCCTCTCTCTCTCCCTCCCTCCCTCCTTGCCCCACCCTCTCCCCCACCCCTTCCCTTTCTCCCTCTCTCCCCCTCCCTCCCTGCCTTCTCTCTTTCTCTCTCTCCCCCCCACCTTTCTCCCCTACCCCTTCCCTTTCTCCCTCTCCTCCCTCCTCCTCCTTCTCTGCCTTCTCTCTTTCTCCCTCTCCCCATCTCTCTCCCCCTCCCTTTCTACATTCTCTGTCTCTCTCTCTTGATACCCTCTGCCCCCTCATTACTGATAACCTGGCACTTACTCTGAGATTATCTGCTTGTTGAAGTTACTATAGAATTTAATATGCAGGCCTTTTCAAAATAATAAATTAAAAACATTTCTGATCTCTTTTTCCTCTTCTTCCTGTGAATGTTTTGTCCCTGGAAATAGTACCCCGGTGTCTTGTAAACCCATAGTGCCTAGCAGAGTGCCTTGTTTATAAGCAGTCACTCAGGAACTACTCAGTTGATGCTAATCAAACTGCGCAAGGGTGGGACAGTTAGCGGTGAAGGGTGCATTCACTCTGCTTCCCTTGTTTCCCATCACACCGATGAGTAATCACGTGTGTGGCTGTTGGCTGGTTTTTCATTCTTCAAGAATTTATATTCAATCCAACAAGGTATTATTTGGATAGCAAACAAATGTGAATGTTCTGATCTAGCATGAAGTCTTTCTACACTAAGAAAAGTATATGTGGTTACTTGGATTTAGTTTCTCTAAATAACAAAGCATCTCTGTGAAAGAGTGAAGAAAATGGCTCTACCTTTTCTTGTAATGGCCGCTGGGGTTTGGCTCCCTTGGGTGGACACCGACATTCTGTGAGCAGCAAAATTGCAATGGAAGGCTAACAGCTCAATATCTACAAAGTAAACGGCCAGAATCACTAGCCACTACTTTACTTTGCTGCGCTATTATTTTCTAATTACTTATTGAGAGCAAGAAAAATGAAGGAAAAGTTTTTCTCTCACGTGGGCCAGTTGACTCAGAAGAATGGGATCGCACTGACTTCTGTGAAGATGCAGGGACAACCAGAAATGAAAACCATTTCGTTATTATGGGAAAGGAAATTATTTGCCAAGTCTGCTTCACTCGAGGTGGGGATGGGTGAGGCTGTTGTGATTTAGCATCGTAAATTAGCAGCCTGCCTAAAAATTATGACCGTGTCTTTAAAGAAATACATTTATGTCTTCTTGATTATGGTAACTTTCAGTAGACCAGCGGTTCGTGATACTGGCTTTTAGAATTCCTGGGGAGTTTTTAAAAATACCCGTGCCTGGCCCCACCCGCATCTCAGGCCCCAGCATCTGGAACCAGGTGACTGTAATGTGCGTTGGAGTCAGGGACAACGGGACCAGACCACCACAGCTTGGCCTAACAGGCAGTGTTATCAGGCATCCACTGTTTCAATCCAGGTCAGTCAGGGTTCAGGCCTGTCACCACCAAAGAGGGAGCTGGGTTGTAGAGGTAGGAGCTGAAGTGTTGCTAACATTAGGAAATGGATTCTTGGCTGCAAAGATGTCATTGCCGTGACGGCATAGTTCTGGTCCACGTCCAGACCCAGCCCTAAAGCAGGTGACCTTGTAGCTTTCTGACCACCCTTTGCTACACCAGCAAAACAGATGAGTCCGAGGGGACAAAAGCTAGCAAAATAAATGAGTCAGGGGAGAAAAGTTATCATAGAGTTGAAAAAGCTTAAATGAGAATTATCAATAAATTCTTATCAGTGAGTCACTGCTCTGTACTTTTATATTTAAAAAATAACTGTACTTTTTAGTAAACTAAGCACCCCTCAGTTCCTACCGCCCCACCCCCACCCCGACTTATTGTGAGCCTCTGAGCACACCTTGTCTTTGGTAGGTATGTCCCTGTTGACAAGGGTTCCTATTCATTTCCATCATCCACATTTTGAAAGATGCTCTTTATGAGCCAAAGTAGTAAATCTTGTCCCCTTCCTTTTTGAAGATACTGGCTTCCTTTTACATAAAGTTGTGTAAATCTTATGTAGCTCTCCCCTGTTCCCTGCTCTTGAGGATCCCTGTTAAAAGAGTCTCCAAATCCTGAAGTGAACGCAGGAATATGGCATTCTTGCAGGTTCAGCTACTTGCACAGGCAAACCAGGTACAGATATTAAGCATGCCTAATACTTCTTCTTTTTTTAATTGTAGGAACATCACACTTTTGCACTATCTCATAACTATTGTGGAAAATAAATACCCCAAGGTCCTCAATTTGAATGAAGAACTACGGGACATTCCTCACGCAGCAAAAGTAAAGTGAGTCCTTCCAGGGAATTGTCTTAGGTTTTTTTTTTTTTTTAAATCACTTGGACTGTGCTTTAGCCATTGAGGCGGTTAGCTGGCATTGCATGAAGAGGCTCTTTCCGTTTGCTTTCCCCTGAATAGCATATGAAGTAAAGCTTGAATCCTATCCAAGTCACTGAAATATGCTACATGGTTTTGAACATATATATATGTATATATATGTTTTTCTAGCTTCTTTGAACTACTCCTGCATGTACTTTTTAACTTCCAGAAAACCTTATTTTCTGAGTTATTAAGAGGATTATAAAGGAATGTGGTTTCGCTAGTACTTTTAAAAGGTACTTCTATTCAATACAGGTAGGAACACCCTTAGTTAACAAGGATACATAGCTAAGCAAATAGAACCTAAATATCAGGGCATTGCTAGTAATTTTCACATGTGCACACACACTCCGAAACCAAGGCAGCCTTTTAATGGAAAGCAGTCTTTATGTAAATGAAGGAACTAAAAATAAAATGGAAAGTTGCCAAACTTTCACCACAGACTTCACACCACTTTTCAGAGACTGAAGAGCAGGCAGTTTTCCTTGTTGTTCTTCCCTCCTCCTTTTGGCCCTTTAAAAATATACATGTGTATTTAAAACTGCATCTGTTTTGCAGTGAATTTGAAAAGAATGATGATGAGCAAGCTAGTTTTTTCCCTCTTTTTGTAGAATTTGGTAGAAATACGAGATATGAAAAGAAAATGTTAAATGAAACATTGATGAATTTGTTTACATCTGAATTATCCAGGAGGATTGTGTTACAATCTCTGAGGTTTTAAAAGCCATCAAATAGAAAGTTTTATAGGAGAAACCCAGAAAACTTTCTCTCTACAAAAAGATAATGAAATCTAGTTAATATCACTTTAAGAAATATCATTGTGATTGAAATGTAAGCCATCCCCGGGTGCCCGGCTGTCTCAGCACAGTCAGCCACTCTTGATATTGGGGTTGAGTTTGAGCCCCATGATGGGTATAGAGAGTACTTAAAAATAAATCCTTTTTTAAAAAAAAAAGTTTATGCCATCACCTTGTAATATGCATATGACCAGAACTTTAGTGAAAAGCAATGCACTCTAATTACAAAGAGTACAATATGAGCATGAATGCAGATAAGACAGCTGCTTTTATTTGTTCAAGGGGAGCCATGTATGGCAAAAAATTCATTTCCATGTAGAATAATTTGCTTTAAGTGAGATTTTCTTGTGAGATTGAAAAATATATGAAGTATTTTTGTATAGATGGGAGACATTTCTATTCTGCTCTTTTTAATCTATAAAATACACCTGCTGTCCATGGAAAACAGAAACCATAATTCCATATCTAAATTCCCTAAGCTTAAAATGTCACCTTTCTGTGAGGTCGGAGCAGGAAGGGAATTTTAAACACTTAAAATAAACTAGTGTGGACTTCCAGGCATGAGATATGTAAACCCATCATCTGTTCAATACGTGTAAGTCACATGTTGGTCACTAAAATGTTACTATTTGCAACAGCATGACTGAGCTGGACAAAGAAATAAGTACCCTGAGAAGTGGCCTGAAAGCAGTAGAGCTGGTGAGTATGTATTTCTTCTTACTCCCAATCTCTTCACTATCTCTGGTGCTGATGGTGTCCAGCAAGGCGGGATGCCCGGGATAAATGTGGCGTAGATCAAATTATTGATTAAAAAAATAACAAAGTAGGAAAACAAGAGCAGTGAAGAAGCAAAGGTGGGTTGTGTCACCCTAGTGACTCAGCTCCAGGACGTCGTGGGGGTCTCGCGGGAGCAGGAACTGGGGAGCTAGACCTAGGGTTGCACTGGTTTCCTGCCTGTAAGGCAGGGCTCATTAAAGTGGGTTGAGCTAGATAATCCTCAAGGATCCTCTCCATGTCCAGGTTTTGTTAATAAGCGATGTTCTTTCTTAGCAGAGCAGTGGAATACCTCTGTTGTCTCAGAGTTGGTCCTCTGGGGAGGATTTATTGAACAGACTTTTGGGTGTACGGTCCATTCTCAAGGCCAGGGGTCATGATGATTCAGAATCCTTGCCCTCCCGGTGTGGCAGTGGCCAAGAGCACTGGTTCTGCTCTTGAGAACACATCCAGATAAGCACAGTGATTACAGAGGTGCCTTGAGGAAGAAGGGTGGATTTAAGTTAGTCCAAAGCTTATGGAATGACTGGCATTTATTAGAGGAAGCTTCTCTTCTGGAGGAGATGAACTTTGAGCTGTGACTTAGGGGGGTGGGGTGAACTCACGGACACAGCAATGAGGTTGTCCCTGGGGCCAGGCCTCGGTGGAAGGAAAGCAGGCGGTGCCACTGGGCTTACTGGTGACTGCGGCACCCGAGCGCCAGGTGGGCCCCACCCAGTGTGGTCTTGAGCCAGGAGGCCGGTCAGGACCAGAAGCCTGCTCAAGAGAGTGGTCGGAGATCCAGCCTGGCACTCGACAAAGGACACTGCTCCACGGGCAGCTTGGAAGGGTGCTCCTCTCTTAAGTCTCTTTCAGATCACTTCTCAGCGGTGCCATGAGGACCCTCCTCTTTTTTTATAGTAAAACTGTGCCATAGAAAGCAGCTGACTTCATTAAAGACATAACTCTAATAAAAGTTATGTCTGTTATTTTTCTGCTTGTTTTTAATAAATTAGGGAGCATAGAAGGCTTCTTCTTTTTTTTTTTTTTTTTTTCCTTTTTGGGGGTTGGGGAATGCTCTTTCAAAAGTAAAGGAGATGAACTGAATGAAAGAAATCTTTTTCTGCCAACCCCAGTGGACCAAGGCACTGAGTGAGCAAGTGGGATGGTCTTTCTCAGATTACAGAGGCCTGCTGGTTAAGGGCGGTTGGGGATGAGACTCGTTTTATAGCCTTCACTTCGTTCCCATTTCCTCCCACTGGAAGGCTCTCTTGAGACGAGGTCACAGTTACGACAGTCTTAAAGCCTGGTAATGGATGCTCTGACCTTTGCATCTCAGCTAGTTCAAGCAAGGCATGGGGAGGGGTCCTGGTGGGGAGGAAGTTTTGGGTTTGGGGTCTATTAAAAGTAGTTTTGCTGAATTCTCTCCAGCACTTGGGTCATGGACACTGTAACACTCTTTAACACACAAACCTTTCCTGCCCCCCAGCAGCATACATGTCACAGTGTAGCACCAGAAGGAAATACTGGGAGGCAGACCTTGGCCTGTTTAAATATTCATGAATCCTAATTGTGCTGGACACAAATGAATTATATAGTTTGAAGATATCAAAGATGAAATTCTTAATTCAGTCTTTGAATGAAATGAGATTATACATGAATGAAATACTTCAAAATTGCTTTTCTATCTCTGTATCTCACATGCATACTTGCTGACTTTCAAGGCCAAAGTACTGGAATTGTGGCAATTTATTCCAATCAGAGCAGATTCCATATTTCATCTTTCCACTAATTTTGTTGGTTCTCATGATGACATGGATATTGCCTGCTTTTTACAAGTGAAGAAACTGAGACCCAGGCCACTTGTCACAGATAAGAACCAAATCAGTGATGGAGCAGAATCAGAACCCACATCCTGTGACTCCTACACTCCTGCTCGTTAGTGCCTCTGCCAAAGCAGTTACAGAAGAAAATAGATTCAGATCAAGACAGTTGGTGCCCAGTGTGTGGTGCTGAGACTGTGGAGTCAAACAGGCCTGAGTTCAAAATCTGGCTCTATCACAGATCAGCTTTGAGCTAATAATTTAATCCCTCTATACCTCAAGTTATGTATCTGTACAAGGAGAATAATAATCCCTCACTCACAGAGGGTGGGATTAAGAAAGTGCATCTGGCAATGGTTGAAATTAATTACTAACATTAGATTTGAATAATCTGTGTGTTCATCACCCTGGTCATGGAGAATATGGGTAATTAATAATACACTAATATCCTACCTGCCTGTTCACGGAAACAAAATAGATGGTAGACAATTAGGGTGCCTGTAGTTGACATTCCACTGACCCAGATACCCTCATGTAGAAAGTCATTAGACTTGGCCAGAGGGAAGGAAGGAAAAATCAAGGAACCAGGGTTCCCAGAATTCTGAGCCCAGAATATCAACAATTAAACTCCCTTGCTTTCAGTCACTCACCTTTGGAATCCAATTTGCTCTCCTTATTTAACTTCTGTTAATTTTATCTAAATGCTCATGTACTTACATCCTAAAGCTAGTATAAGAAATCACACTGTTAAAGTACTCAGGTGATCGGCTAAATGGCTATTTGCAAATAATGTGGGTGCATGTGGGCTTGGCTCTGGTGTGGTAGACGGAAGAGCCCGGGGAGCTAGGCTGCCACAAGGTGTTTCAGAGTAGGTGTTGATGTGTTTGCCATTCTGACTTGTTAAATTCGAGGTATATGGAAAATGAGGCAAGGTGTGTCTGCATTTGAAGGCTTACTTGACATTGTCCACTTCCTGTGTTTAAGGAGCTAGAATATCAGAAATCTCAGCCCCCACAGCCCGGGGACAAGTTTGTGTCTGTTGTCAGCCAGTTCATCACAGTAGCCAGCTTCAGCTTCTCTGATGTGGAAGACCTTCTCGCAGAAGCTAAAGACCTGGTAAGTGTCCCCTTGCGTACTGAGTGTTGTTCAATAGGGCTGATACCTGCAGATATTCAACATCTTTGTATCTAGGACTGTGATCAATTGAAACACACCCTTTTTGTCTAACTGGCCTGTGTTGCCTTTAGGTTAGCAAGACCTCAGGGTATCTGGATGGTGTAAGACCAGTAAATATTTTGCAATTTTTTCATGGTTGATACTGGATTAAAGTACTTACCTCTGGGAACCAGAAAAGAGTAGATCAGGCATTACCAAGGCCACGGTGTCCCAGTATCTGTAAATTATATGCTGTCCTGAGACAGACTTAGGGCTGGAGATTCCCTCTGAAAATATCCAGCAGAACTTATTAAAGGAGATACATTTTAATTCAGAGCCTCATGACAAGAGGCATATGTTTTTTTGTTTTTTGTTTTTTTAAGATTTTATTTCTTTATTTGACAGATGGAGATCACAAGTAGGCAGAGAGGCAGGCAGAGAGAAAGGAGGAAGCAGGCTCCCTGCTGAGCAGAGAGCCTGATGCGGGACTCGGGTCATGATCCCGCGACCCTGGGATCATGACCCGAGCCGAAGGCAGAGGCTTTAACCCACTGAGCCACCCAGGCGCCTGAGGCATATGTTTTAATAATACAGTGCTTTAGGTTATAGATTCTTGCTATTTGAAAATTTTGATTTCCTCTAAAGGAAAAGTTTTCATTGGCTAATAACTAGGACTTCAGCTCCTCCCCATCCCCCCATTTCCTCCTCCAAAATGAATACACATTTATATACATATGCATGTACACATCTTTTCTCTTACGCCCCCCCCCATTGTTAATAAGTTATCTTAAACCCCTACCCCGTCCTGTCGAGCTCTTCCACACTGCTCATTTCTCAGTTGCCACAATAGCCTTTTGCTTTAACTTTCTTTTGCTAACTTGAGTAATAGAAGTCATTTCACTGTAATCGTCTGTTTAGTTAATAGATATGGATGTTTGCTTATGTGTAGTATACATAAACAACTGCTTACAGTTCAGAAGAAGACTGTATTAGGATACATTAGCTAGTCTCAACTGTAAACCACACCTCCAACACAATTAAGTAAATGGAAAGATAATGTATGGTCTGAGGACTGCTGTTAGAAGTCCAGCTTCTGCTGTCCCATGATTGATGTCAGCAGCCTCTGTGATAACCCCCGCCCCCACCCGTTTCTTACATATGCCTCACCACTTTGGATGATACAGATCTATAAAGGAAGGGACTCCCCAACCCCACCCTAACCGGGCAGTATAGAATCTACTTCCTTGAGGGCTCAAACATTTTTATAAGAATCAACCCTACAGTTAATTTGTGGTATAAAAACACTCGCTCATGCACAACCTACTATTTTTTTTTTTTTTTTAAATTTTAGTGTGGGAACTTTAGTCTGGGACTAGTTTTCTTCAGACCAAAATATACATGACTTCATCATCACTAGAATTCCTAGATAAAAAGATCATTCAGGATGGCTTGGAGTGCATGAACTTAAATGCTTTAGAGACTCAGTCGTAGGCCATCCAATGCCATTTTGTTCATACCAGAACTTTTAGAAATTAGCTTATAAAGCCATGAAGGCAAGCTAGAGCTTTGTGTGTGGAGTATAAACAGAGTATTTTTCCCTAAGGAACTCTGATTTCTGGGGTGCCTGGGTGGCTCAGTGGGTTAAAGCCTCTGCCTTTGGCTCAGGTCATGATCCCAGGGTCCTGGGATCGAACCCCACATCAGGCTCTCTGCTCAGCAGGGAGCCTGCTTCCCTTCCTCTCTCTCTGCCTGCCTCTCTTTCTACTTGTGATCTCTGTCTGTCAAATAAATAAAATCTTAAAAAAAAAAAAAAAAAAAACTCTGATTTCTTTTCTTTTTTATTTTTTTTAATAAAAATTGTCTGTGTTTATTTGACAGAGACACAGCAAGAGGGAACACAAGCAGGGGGAATGGGAGAGGGAGGAGCCCTATTTCTTATACTAGAGAGCCCAACATGGAGCTTAATCCCAGGACCCTGGCATCATGACCTGAGCTGAAGGCAGACGCTTAACCAGCTGAGCACACAGGCACCCCAGAACTCTGGTTTCTAATAGAATATTTCCAAATAAGTATAACATTGAGAACAACTCCTCAGTGAAGAGAGAAATGGCAAAAGATCATTTTTATTACAAATTTAAAGATATAACATGACAACTATAAGATGTCATATGCACACACATATAACTTTATAATTGTTTTATCTCAGAATAAATATTGATGGGGAATTGGAAGAAGGTAGCCAAAAGGTGCTAAGATAAGTATAGGGGTTGTAATGGACAATATCATGATTGTACTTAACACTGCTGCATGCTGTGTTTGAAAGTTACTAGGAAAGTAGACCCTTTTGTGTGTATCTGTATGGGGTGATGGATGTTAACCAAACTTGTTGTGATCATTCACAATATACTGAAGTCAAGATATTATGCTGTACACCTTAATTTTATACAGTGCTATATGTCCATTATATTTCAGTAAAACTAGGGGGGGAAAAAGAATAAATACTAAAAACATTTCCTATAGGGAGATAGTATTACCGAAATATCAGAAAAAATACAATAAAGGCAGATAATGCAAGAAAAATAAAAGCAATTATAAATTCTTGGGTGGGGGGCACTGCACCAATACTTCATAGTCTAAATGAAGAAAATTAGAAAAAAAGAAAAGAAAATTAGAGATCTGGAAAATGTTAAGTAGTTGATTAGGCTACTCATTAGAGAATGAGAATTCATTTGACTCCAAAGCTGGAAACACCTTCCTTAGTAGCTTAGGAGTAACAGCATTAGATCTTTACAGAGGGAAGAAAATTTCTAACAAACATTTTGACTGGCGTTGAACATTTTTTGGATAGTCATGATACTGCTAAGACTCCTAAAGTCATGCAGTCTTGAGTTATGAAGATAACTACCAGGAGAACTAAAACTAGGAGAGTACAGCATAGGAAATATAATCAGGAAAATTGTAATAACATTTGGTGACAGATGGGGACTGCACTTTTCCTGGTGGGCACTGAATGCTGGATAGAATTGGTGAAACATTATGTTGTACACCTGAAACTAATATAACACTATGTTAATTATACTTCAGTTTAAAGAATTAAAATCTTAAATAAACTGACACATTGACCAACTCAAAGGAGGAAAAAATACTGAGGAGACTGGAAATAACTATTTTGTTATAAGAGACATATTTGTATTAATTTTTTTTATCTCTACCTTAATATTTTGCATTTTAGCTGTTTTGAGAGAATTTGCACCAAAAGGGATTCTCTCTAACAAAGAATTTGGAATAAAATTGTATTCTTAGTCATAAATTCGGTGTTGCATTAATGACTCTGTAGTCCATGACTGTTTTCTAACTGAGGCCCAGGATATATCACAATGCTAGCGTTACTTAGGATTAGGAAAAGCAGCTAAGAAGCACTGGATCCCATTTGCTTTTGATATTAACCATATGGCACCAATAAATGATATTAAACTGCTTCAAAGAAAAGTTAAAAGTACAAGTTTCCCTACCCCTGCCGAGTTTGCTATTAGTTTTACGTCTTGAGTGCTCTGCCCTGTGATATTTTGCTTTCTCGTTTTTACTACTGTTTAGTTAATAAAAAGTCAGAGTAGGTAATCATTGGTGTTAAGCTGAAATGAGGTGGAAAAGAATAAATAGTTTCAAAAGCCGAGGAGTATTAAATTTTTTACTTCAGCACTGATTGATGGGCCTGTTCAGCAGCCACAGATAAATACAGGCTCAGTGAACTCCAGCGAGTTATATTTGAGTCTTTCTGAACGTCACTGCTTCTAGAGAGATTTCTGTTTGATCACAGAATTCCTTTGGAACCCTGACCTTCTTAAAACTCGCCCCCCCTTTTTTTTCTTCCAGTTTACTAAAGCAGTGAAACACTTTGGGGAGGAGGCTGGCAAAATCCAGCCGGATGAGTTCTTTGGCATTTTTGATCAGTTTCTTCAAGCTGTGTCAGAAGCCAAACAAGAGAATGAAAACATGAGAAAGAAGAAGGAGGAGGAGGAACGCCGTGCTCGCATGGAAGCTCAGGTAAGATAATGAGGATCTCAGACGTTTCCACCTCCTGGAAATCCCAGAGCGGCTGCTGCTTGGTGTGTAGACAGCGCTGTGATGTGCCAGCAGGAAGGAGGGCATCGAAGTACTCTCTAGAATGCTGCTCTGAGTTTGAGTCACTGTAAGTTTCTCTCAGGCAGTCAGGCAGTGTATGTCCAAAGACTGAAAAGATATATTTCTACATCCTCTGATCTGGAGTTTCATTTCCCAGAAATTATTATAAAGAAATAATCCTAAATTTGCCCAAAGAGAACCAACCACAGTCTTTATAATAGGCCTCACATGGAAACAACCTGAATGTTTACCAACCAGGCATTAGCTTTAAATGGTGTAATAGCTACCTAATGGAATATGCAGTCCTTGGAAGTCATGTTTTCAAAGAATATTTAATGATAAAAGAAAGTTTACAAAATTATTTCTGTGTAAATCTTTTTTTTTTTTTTTTTTTTTTTGGTAAGGTAACTGTTAATAAGGAAAGTGGTAGTGGTGGGGTATACCCCCAGCAGGCTCACAATGGTTAGCTCTTAACAGTAGGATTAAGGATGATTTTCCCACCTTTGTTTATATGAATTGTGTAAATTTTCTATAATGCATGTATAATTTGGTTTTTAATAATAATAACTCATGTGTAGCCAGCTCCAGGCATCCACAGGAGATAGAAGCTAAGCCTTTGATGTGAGGAAAGTGGCCCTATGAGTGTTTGCTTTAGTCTCGCTATACTATCAAGTAAATAAAATATTTTCAAAAAAATCAAATATTTGGGGTCTGTTCAGTGATAACTTCCTGGTTCCATGATAGGCATAGGAATTATCCTAGCTGCTCTTGTTTTAACTAGAATATCATGAGGTTTACCTAGATTCTAGATGGTTAGTGTCTAATCTTCATTATTCATTGCTTCTACAATAAGACCTCAAGTCCCAGTTCCCCGTCTCTTGTGAGGTCCAAGGGCGTTAGCAGCTGTTGGATGCACATGGGTTGATGTGACTGGAGTATGGCCATATTTCAAGGATTTCATCTCCACTGAAAACAAAACAACACTTTGACACTTTTGTAAAAGGTTGCTTTCTATTTGCAGCTCAAAGAACAACGTGAAAGGGAACGTAAAATGAGGAAAGCAAAAGAGAATATTGAAGAGGGTGGAGAGTTTGATGACCTGGTTTCAGCTCTACGCTCAGGAGAAGTATTTGACAAAGACCTTTCTAAGCTGAAACGGAATCGCAAGCGTATTACCAACCAGATGACGGACAGCAGCCGAGAGAGACCAGTCACAAAACTTAATTTCTAATTTTCCTTGGATACTTTTTTTAGAAAGCTCATTAGCAGCCCTTTGAAGTGACTAGAACTTTTCATAACACTGCCTTGCAATCCAAACAGTGGCAATTTCTTCTTAAATCTGTGAGTGAATGTGTGAATGTGTGTGTATGTAAATGTATGTGTACATATATATTAAAAAATGTATATAGAAGTCTGAGTGTTGTCTGGAGACCTATACGTATGGTTAAAAAAAATCTATGTTAATGTATGTGCTCATAAACCCTTTGTGTATGCATTTGTATTGAATATGGCTCATTTTCTTCCCCTGAACACAATGGCTGTTCAGAAGCACAAAACAATCTCCTGAAAGAGGTGACAGAGACATTCCCTAGAGTAAAAAGGAAAAACAAAAGCAAAAAAAAAAAAAAAAAAAAAAGGCTTGAGAAATATTTTATGGTTTCCAAGCTTGGTATACTTTGAAATTATTTTCATTGGTAAAACTAGTATTGGAAAAATATAGATTTGAAATGTTTTTTGATAGTTGACAATGTGATACTGGTGTATTGCATCAGTAATTGATAGGACCAGCTTAGAATTTCCGACATTGGTGTGGGGCTGCACTCTGTAAATGTTCATTGAGAACATCTTGCACACAATCTGAATTATGTAAAATGTCAATCAGACATTTTTTATATATTTAAAACTTGGACATCAATTTTTTCCCCTAATTTCATCAAGTTCTCTGCCAAGCGCTCTTGAAGATTTATTTACATTGCTTTTGAAAAGAACACTATTTATCTAAATGCAATTCACGCTCTTATTAAAGAACAAGATTGCCAGAACGTGCTTGTTGTTCTAACAATATAGATATATAAACTTTAAAAATAAAATTTCCCACCCAAGACCTAAAAGGAGGAATTCTCTGACGGGATAAAAATTATTTAAAATTTTTTATGGGGTGCCTTTTTTTTTCCTTTTTTTTTTTTTTTTTCCTATTTTCTAGGACAAGCTGCATCTTCTGTCAATATGAGTCTGGACTAAAGGACACTTAGTGAATGCACAAAATGTCAACACCGACAGAGATGCCAAGATCTATTTATCTCTAAGTATGTTTGAAGTGGTTTGTTGTTTATACGTTGTCATTTTAAATTGTGTGTCAGTAAAGCTACCTGTAAAATTTCAGTCCAAAAGATGAAGCTCTCAGGGAGAAATGAATAAAAACAATGAACATTAGAAAATAAAATATAGATGCTTACCATTAACCTACCAACTCTTAATATCCTTAAATTATATATAAAGAGGACTGTTACTTTTTTTTTTTTTTTTTTTTTTGCTTTATTTATTTGTAGTGGGGGAGGGGGCTAAGATTCTCTCTTTTCTTTCTCTCATTCGTGCTGTGGTTGGGTTTCCTGTGGAGAGAATAGTTTGTCCTGTTGCACTAGAACATTATTTACTCAATAAATTGAGTTTTTCAGTCAATTAACAAATATTTATTAAACACCTACTATGTGCCAGGCTTAGTAGGGCTACAGTGAGAAGCAAGACAAAGTCCCTGCCCCAAGGAGCTTATGTTCTAATGGGGATAAAGGGTGAATAGAATACCAATATGCACTGTACAGGAATCATGCTATTAAAAAATGATTTGTAGAAACTATAATGCTTAGTGCAGATGGAAAGGTCTCTGCACTATCTGAAAGCTGTGAAATAGTGCTCTAAGGGTGGTCAAGAGCAGTGGTTTTTACATTTTCCCCCCACATTGCAAACTTAGAGACTTTGTACCCATTTTATGGAAGTGAATGACTAGCAAATAAGATAAAAAACTCACAGCAGAGGTTGTGCTCCCCAGCCCCCAGTAACCAAGGTCTGCAAATCCACCGGGTTAAAGGTGCAGACAGAGACTTTGCTCCAGGAGGCTTGGAGATGAGGAATGGGAGACGATGATGGATGTGTCTATTCCTTAACAAAAGTGCCTCTATCTTCTTTTCTATTTATAGTAAGAGAAATTTGGTCTGGCTCAATTTTGGAACTGTATTTTGAAAATGGCTTTGTTTTACAGTTTAAGGAATGGACAAGTGGATGGAGAGTCACATAGAGGAGCAAGCCCATAGCGTGTCCCTCTTGCCCTTTGTAATCATCCTCATTTTGATTCGGCCATCCTGGTAGGCCTCCTTTACCGTTTCCATTTTGGTTTCTTTCCCCAAAAGCTTTGTGCAGGTAATTCCATGTGCCATTGTTGAAAAAAATCTACTTTTTAGATTGGTGCTGGTGTAAGTAGCCACTTTCTCTCTTGGGCGTGTATTTTAAAGTTTTTTGTTTGTTTTTTTAAATTAATGCCAAAAAGAAAGCATTATAATTTGTAAACTTAATTATATGTCTTGTATCTTATTAGCTTAGTAGTTGGAACCTCTTAGTCTCTAGGTGCAAGACTGTTGTTATAGTACCAAGAAAAAAAATGTTGTATGTGTTATGAGATTGTACATTTTTTTAAAAAAACAATATGCAATAAAGAGATGAATTCATTGGGTGTATGTATATGCTTTCTATGAGTTACTAAAACAGCATTATCAAACTTCTTTGTCCTATTAAATTTAAATATTGCCAATTGTTTCCTAAGTCAAGAACACATACATTTTTTTTTTTTTTTAAAGATTTTATTTATTTATTTGACAGACAGAGATCACAAGTAGGCAGAGAGGCAGGCAGAGAGAGAGGAGGAAGCAGACTCCCCACGGAGCAGAGAGCCCAATGCGGGGCTCGATCCCAGAACCCTGGGATCATGACCTGAGCCGAAGGCAGAGGCTTTAACCCACTGAGCCACCCAGGCGCCCCACACATACATATTTTTTAGCTTGTATGTACCAGACCTAGAATGGTAGTTTTCTGGTTTGGTAATATTCAATATGTTCACAGACTACTATATGCTACCCCTTTCTGTCACTTTTCTATAACCTCTTTGTATGACTCCATAGAGTTATGGTTTCTCAGTATAGCTACTGGTGAAATTATTCAGCTGGCAGTACAGAAAAGAATGTCTCGAGAATGAAAATCTTTTTCATTTTGAAGCAGTTCCTTTATTTATTTGTTTTTTGGGAAAGATTTTATTTATTTGAGATAGAGAGCATGAGATGGGGGAGGGTCAAAGGGTGAAGCAGACTCTCTGCTGAGCAGGGAGCCCAGTGCGGGGAATCTCTCCTGGGACTGCAGGATCAGGGCCTGAGCCAAAGGCAGTCACTCAACCAACTGAGCCACCCAGGCACTCAGAAGCATTTCCTTTTTTGTTTTTAAAGATTTTATTTATTTATTTGACAGAGAAATCACAAGTAGGCAGAGGGGGGAGGGAAGCAGGCCCCCTGTTGAGCAGAGAGCCCAACACAGGTCTCAATCCCAGGACCTTGGTCATGTCCTGAGCTGAAGGCAGAGGCTTAACCCAGCCTGGGAGCCACCCAGGTGCCCAGCATTTCCTTTTTTAAAATTAATTTATGATATAGGTCAATATGAGAAGTGTCACCTATGCAGAGCAAGGGATGTGTATTATATCCTTTGAAAATTGGGGCTTTTTCTTGGCCCCACATTGCCTGGCCATCCTCAGCCCAATTTGAAGTCAAGCTGAAAACAGATTGTCCTGTGGTTAATAGCAGACTTAAGCACTTCTGATCTTTGGAATGGACTCATGATAGTCTTAAAATTGTCAACCATCTAATATTTCATCTAGTCCATGGATACTGCATGGTATCCAAAGACGACTACTTTTATGCAGGGCATTCCGATGGAAGAGAGCCTTCTGCGTGGTAGACAGTTTTTTCATTCCGTCCCACAAACTGAACATACAGTTAACAGTTTGTACATTTGAGTGTGGAGCTGTGTATAAAACCGCCCAGACACTCCATTGTTCATGGAGTATTGATAGAAGTAGAGAAAAATATGAAACTTTCCGATCATTATGTTTCCTTTTATGTTTTCATTTTCTCTTAAACAAATCATTGCTGGGGGAAAATGTGCTTCTGTTAAAGGGATGAAGCTATTTGAACCTTCCAGGGTTTCTGTAATCTAACATGGGCTTATGTGAGGCAAAAGGATAGTCTTAAATAAACTAGTTTAGACACAGTTATTCAAAAGATCAAGTTCTGAGTTTTCTGAATTTTTCTTCTTGTTCCTTTTTTTTTTTTTTAATAACATCATCTGTTTCCTACCAAGTAGTAAACCTAAAATAAGAACTCCCAAGCTTTAATGGCTGCTTGATACCATTCAGTTCCAAATCACTAGCTAGCTTCAAGAACCACTGGACTGTGTATACATCTGAAGTCAGGGTTCTAGGGCTTTCATTTATAGACCATCACCAAGTTGGGGTTGGTGCCCATTTTCTCAAAAGTGATGTGTATACTGGTTTGTCTCTACATCCCTGTGCCCCTATTAATATGAACTCTACTGAAGTCCAAAAACCTGGTGAGTCTACCATGAAGAGATGGTTTAAAATCTATTAATTTTCTTTATCTTGGAGAAAGTTTGGAAGCCCTGGAGGAAGGAGTTTCCTGTTTATAAGGATTTTCATGTTTTCCATAGCAAAGACCAATCAGGATTATTTTTCACTGGTCTTGGGGGGAAAACCTTGATCTAACCTTTGGCCTCTTCCCTGACATGATTTTGTCCACTGCAATCAGCTATGTTTCCATGGTGTCAAACAAACAACATGTACATAGGATTGCACACTAGGGGTTTTTGACAAAGGAGATCTTTATTTTTATCAAAGCCTTGGTATGTTTTTTTCTTCCCCCATGGGAAAAAGAGAGGTCCCCATGTAAATTCTCTCATGTCATTTACATGAAGTATTTGTTTTTTATGCTTCTATGCCTATAGTTTCTTTTACTGGAAGGAAGAAGAAACAGTTCTGTGTTGACCTTCAGTACCATTGCTCATTTCATTTACACCCATCATGGTCATGTGGGGACATAGCTAAGGCAAAGGAACCTGCAGGCCCCCATGGGATGGTGAGCATCTCTTGTTAGTGTCCTCACCCCATTTCCCCACCCCTACCTCCAGTGGGGAGAAACCTTCCTGAGTCCAATCAGATTTAGGAACCTCCCTGACTTTCCTGGGATGGGAAAGGTGAGCAGAGAGGAAGTGATCATAATGCTGAGCCGTGACTCAGGAAGACAGGCACAGGGGGAGAAGGAAGTGCCTCCACCAGCTGCTTAAAAACAGAAAAGCCCGTATGTGGATGACCAAGACTCTTTCCAACCAAATCAAGTTGTCCTACTCCCTTTCACATACCCCCTTAGCTAAATTCACTTCGATGACTTACTATGCCCTTTGACTTCTCCAGCTCACGCACATCCACGTGTATCACCCTGTGTGTAAAGCCCAACAGGCTCGCTTCTCGTGCTTCCTTGAACTTCCATTCAGACCAGGACCCTTTGCGGCTTTTTTCGGTCTCTAAAA